ATTGTGACATTACTGTGCAGTGCAGGAAAATATTGTTCAGTACCTATGTCAATTCATAATATTTGTCAAACAATTCACAATACTTTCTTGGAGCTAGTATAGACTACCCAAGTCTGCATATATTTCTGGATATATTTTTATAAACGATTGCATTAATATGATCAATTAATCGATATTCTCTGCGATCGATTCCGTCGTCCGTCCGTTGCGGTCGTGACGCAACTTTATCTGCGCGCACGCAAATGCATTTCGCCGAAGATTGTTTTGCTCTTACTTTAGACACTTGAGCCTCTTTATCCCTTCCGTCTGGTAACTTCGATTGGACCGAGCCAGACGGTCAGGGACTTTATGTAATGGTCAGGGCTTACATTTACTATCAAGGCAGTTAATTGCATATTAATATGGTAGATTTAACCCTTAATTGTACTTTATAAATAACATATTCGACAGTACATGAGCTCATCCTTTCGAACTCCTTTAATCTTCTGATTAATTTCGTAGCGGGACAAACTTTGCTTTCACTGGTTGTGTTTTTATGGCGGTCAAGCTGTAGATCCTGGCTACACAGGAGTTGCAGCGGTGGTAATAGGTGATGGGAATAGTCCCGTAGTACATTATACTACACAGTTTCGCTGTAAAATATCACCTATTAAAACTGTAGTTAGACATGCCACTGTGTTTAACATCATCTGTAACCTTATTACCGATAAGTTAAGCAATAAAATGCCATTGCAATAGCCACAACGCATGGTGATTGAAAGGGCACTTGTCACACAGGTGTCTCATTATTTTATAAACAAAGTACTTACATAATGCAGCATATAAGTAAGTTATAAGTCGCAGTTATAAACTACTCACCAATTGATGGCAGTTTCACTACCAAGCTTTGTGTGTGGCTCGGCCTTTATGTGACACGAAAAAATAAAGTTATAAAACTTGTTCCTTTATTTATCTTTTTACTTCCGTTGTAACATAAAACAGTTTCAAATGATATCGATAACATTTATTTTCATTCATGAAACGGGAGTTTATTGACTGTAATTTTTTAAAGACCTTCCTGTTAGATAAATTGGAAATAACATTTGGCAAAGATTCGGTTTGCAAAGTTGATATAAACAAATAAGAATTACGTAGTTCTTGACATTTATGTGCTAGTCAAAGTTTATTTTATATCAGTTCCACAATATTATTACTAAGCAAGTCAAATGCAGTGACCTAGTAGGATCTGACTCATTCGAATACCTTTTGCCTTACCTCAGAATCCATGTTTAGTTTTCATTTTTACACAAAACTACCCATTCCAAGTTAATAAGTAAATAGAGTTTTAACATTGTAGTTTTGTATTAAAGACCACCATCATTTTGTTATACAGGGTGTTTCTTTTAAGATGTCAAGCCGGTGCGTGGTGATACCACCATGTATGTAATTTAAATTGGTCTAAGACAAAACTTCAATGTGGTATGGGTATGTTAACCTCAAATGAGACCCAGTCCCAGTTTTAGTTGGCATCTGTAATCTTAATGAAGAAGTAGAACAATGAATGTAAAGGCCTAATTAAATACCAAGGCGCATCAATTAACAGATGCTATAACTAAGGCCATTATCTCACAGTTATAATTAACGTGATCGTATATTCAAATCGCGCCAAAACACTGTTATGTGTATGACAGTGTCCTAAATAATTTTGGCGTTAGTTCCAAGTGGTTTATTCTTAGATTTGGCCACTGCAAAGTTTGTTAGAAGTTTGCTGGAATAGAGCGTATGGAGGTGTTTACAATACATGTTTAATGATGTTGTTTTTGCTGTATTGAGTATCTTTTGCATTGTATTGGCGGTAGTAATTGAAATTAAATCTTCATAATTGTACATAAAAATTCTATTTACATAATATTTTCTACATTGAGGCAAGTTATATTAATTTGCCAGTTTAATAGAAACAATTACATACGAAGAAATTATTTCATAGTAAACTTAATTAGTGTTATTTCTTGACGTTAAATTAAACATGTCAGTTTGCTTCAACGTTAACGGCATAGACTTGTTTAAAAAGTCCATATTAATTTAAATTAACAATAACGAATAAAATATATCGCATGATGAAGATAAGGTCAAGTGTACATAATTAGTTATTGTTACAACAATTAAAGAAACCGATTGTCTGTCCATGTTGACGCTGCATCGATTAACGTTAACGATAATAAATGATCTATATCGATGTTTTCTTAAATCTCTAGCGATTAAATCGAGATTGATGACACTAAACGCGTGTATCTGTCATCGATCATCATCATCACTCTCGGATGTTTGGAACGGAACGGGGAGTGTTTTGCGTTTTTGCTAAAACAATTAGCCTTGTTCGCACGTGAACCAACTCACCGTGTCAGCTTACTGGTGTAGGGTTGGCGACAAAGCGATTATTCCCAAAAAAGATACAGAAGAAGACACTTCATGTCAATTAAAAAAAATCGAGGTCCCCCTATTTTGTAACTTTTTATTTTGTGTTTTTTTTAATTGGGTGTGTGTATGTGTCTTTGTGCTGCCAAATAAAATTATTTTCTTTCTTTTTCATTTTTTTGCTCAAAAGCTCAATATCGTAGTGATCCATTTGATTGACCAATATCTTTTTGACATTTTGTATTGCAGAATGACTTTAACACAGACGAGCGAGAGTAATTCAAAAGTGTAAAGAAATCTCCATTTTCAAGTGCCTGTAGTTGATTCTTGAGCTTTTGAGGATGAAATAGATATAAAAGACTTTCGATTAATCGATCTCATCAACCGCCTTATGGTTATGTTCGTAGTCAGACGCATGTTGCGGTTAGCACTGCGGGTGATTTAGGTACGTAACAGTGACCGCAAATGTACCTCAGCAGATGTGCTACGTTTCACGCAAGCCAACCATAGGCATTATGTACACAATATAGATAATTAGTCAGTTCCTATCAGGAATACTATGTTTCATACTCAATAATTCTAGTAAAAACTCGTAAGGTTAGGCAGATATCAACTTAATTAATAAATACATCGGTAATTTTTGTGGTCATTTGGCATTGCAGTTTCAAATAATTTAACATAATAATAAAGCGGCCATTGGGCCATGTTTCATTGCAAATTAATCAATATTTTTTAAAACAAGATCGGTGTGCAATCGATGCGTACTTACGCAACTTTTAAAAGAAATAAAACCTGTCTAGGTATTTCATAAAGTAAATACAAAAATGTATTAGATATTCAACCGGAAAAGTCACTCAAAAAATTAGATTCAAATATTTAAGTACTACCAGGCCTGTTCATCTCCGCGAGTTTACATCGAAAACAAAACACGCACGATGGCCCACCTACAGGATACTATTCGACAAGGCCTCACATACGAGCGAACATTGACTCACGCACGCGTATTCTTGTGTATGATGGAAGAAAATAAAGAAAATGGTGTACTAAATACTGTGCAGTATTTAACTGCCTAAATAATAATAAAAACACAGAATGTACTTTTTTAAGTTGCTTCAAGACACTGAGAGGTAAATAAGTAGTTAATATTATTAATGATAATTCATGCTAAATTATATATTTCCTCCGCCATTTTCCGCAGTTTGGCACCTCACGTCACATCATTTTACCGAAGTCAGCCCTATAGCTTCGGCGCAGTGCCGATCACTGACGTTTGTCAACAAAATGGTGCTTGACTCTTGAGACAGGCTAAATTACACCATATTGTTAATGACATTGAGCATACATTTTTTTAAATACCTTCGCGAAGTAAAACTTCTGTACGTAGTACTTATTATTATTCTGTGGTACTACCAACCGCTTACCTAAGTTGCCCTTTTTTAGAATTGGCAACCCTAAGTAATTGCATACTTTTGCATTAACTAATCCCGCTTATGATACCGCAGAAAAATTAATTATTTTAATTGCCTATTCATTATTTACCGTTTACATTCACATTTCAAGGGGCTGCTATAGTTATCGCATTCGGATGTAGTGACCTTGTCTACTGTATAATATAGCATTAAATAATATACATAATGCAAAGTTTAGTTACAGTATTGATAAAACAATCAACCTGTAAAAAGACCCAGTGCAAAATGATTCCAAACAATTATGACAAATGTTTTTATTAATGTTTACAATTACTACAATTTTTTTTTAATAAAACGAAAAGTTTAAATTTTTTAACCTTCTCGTGTCGCAATTTCCCGGATATGCCTGATGTTTTACATTCTTTAAACAACTTGAACGGTTAATTTAATTTAATCAATGCCTTCGGCATTGACCCACTGCGTAAGTTTATTATTGAACTTTATTATATTTGCAAAATTTTACTTATGCCTTTAGAATCGACCCTTTCCATTTCCCTTATTTATATACTAAGTAGCGGCCGCCAGCGACTTCGTACGCGTGGATCCCGTTTTACCCCCTTAGGGGTGGAGTTTCGTAAAATCCGTTCTTAGTGAGCACCTACGTTCTAAAAGGAACCCCTATGCAAAATTTGAGACTCCTACTAGCACTTGTAGTTTTTGAGATTTCGTGATGAATGAGTCAGTCAATCAGTGACCTTTCGCTTATAGATTTAAGGCTGAATGTTCAAAGATGTGTAATTTTTTCATACTAGGCCAGTATTACTTCAACGCACGTAATCTGTAGTGATGTGTGAAATCAATTTTGAACGATTTATGATGATGAAACTTGGCTTAATTTTCTTCGCTGGTATGTTGATAAACTCTTTCGGTTGGCTACCCAGCTGTCTATCTAGCTAGTCTAAAAAAAATCCAGTTGAACTCTTTCAGTAGTTTAGCCAGCTATAGTTATTTAGCTAAAATAAAAAATATACGCAACAAAACTCATTCGAATAAAAAAATAGTCGAATTGATAAAAGTAGATGCATTAAACTCGGTATTATCACACAAAATGTACCTAAATTTACTTACAGCTACGTATATTTTAATCGTGATAATCCTGCGCTTTGCCAGATAAAATCACACAAATCGGTAGTTTCATTATGCCCAAGAGTTATCACACAAAAAGCGCATTTATTTACATGCATCTACGTATATTTCAATCGCGATAATCCTGCGCCTTGCCAGGTAAGTACACGCTGACCCGCGTGAGACGGCCGGGCACCGCAGTAGTTTTGGCCGGCCCGAGACCAGCGCTCGCGCACGCGGGCGTCTTTCGCGAATTCATTTTTTGAACCAAAAAATCGCTTTCACAAAATTCGCCCGCGCTTTTTGATACTTTGCCAGTGTTTTGGTCTGTGAATCTGATACGTCACGGCTAATTGTGTTTTCTTTGTTTGTTTTTTTTGAGGGATTTTAAAGTTTACCAATATAAAAGTGTCGTTCGGTTCCATTGATTTCTAGTGTGAGGATTTTATCGCTCGTTATCATAGGTTTATCTCGACTATCATTACTTTCGACCTTGTGATCACCTTCTCTGGGGGTATTTACGGAAATTCTTACACTCTATTCCGTGATAATTGGTTCGTCAGTTTCTTTGTTAAACAAATTGTTTGTTTGTTATATTATTCATAAATGTATTTATGTACTGTTAAACATTCCTTTATTACCTTCAGAATCGGACTAAATAATCGTTGTTACGCCATTTACAAAACATAGACCACGCTCCGTTCGTTTTTATGATGTTTCTATAAAGTCATAGTGCTGTTATTTTTAGATTAAATTCTTCGGTTTTTTGTTTTATGCTAATTTATTCGTCATCAACTGTTTTATAGAGCTTGACACGGGTTTAAGTAAAGATCGGCGTTAGTGGAAGGATCTTGAATCTTGATTGCATGCTTTGCGATTTTACTTTCACACGTTGGTCTTTGCAGCCTTAATTAGTGCTGTACTTAGATTCTTGAAGCCTTAAACCCGGTTTCTAATGCCGCTATTTGTATTCGTCGTGCGACAATTTGTGTGTCAAGTCACACATCACTAATGGTTATGGTCAAGTGTTATGTATTGAGATTGATTCGTCCTACATGCTTGTTATGTTCACTCGAAAGTGATGGGGCTATGACCCGTATTCTGAAATGATCGTACGTGAATTGGTTCAAGAATGTTAAAAATCACGCACTGTGTACTTGGAATCTAACCAAAAGACTTACATAAATTCAAATAATTAAATACAAGAAGTTTAAAACATGAAATAATTAAAAAATATTTCATTGACCTACCATTCACCTACACATTTAGTTAATACAAATATTGAAATATAATCACTAAATTATGGGCATAAACTCTTGGCTGAACTTGGGCTTTAATAAAGTTTTTAGCTTCATTCGAGAACTTTGTTGTGTTTATCAATGACTAATATTCAGACTCCAAATCAAAATGACTTTCAATACCGAGTATTTTTGTTTGTTCGTATCGCCCACTGACAAATAACTCATTAAGTATGAAGTGGTATGTTTTCCTTATAAAACTAAATTAAATTATTTATTATATTTGCAATTTTCTATAGTTATGATAGCTCCCCTCCACATAGCATCTGTTTCGATATTGGCGTACCTATCACGGGGCATTGACTCGGGCCTAGAGTTACCATATCTCAGGATTTGTCCTGACATTTCAATATTTTTAAACTCTTCTCAGCAAAGACATCTTAAAAATGTAACATTACCTACATTTTTAAGACTTCTTTAATAAAAAGTTGAACAATTAAAAAACTCCCTAATTAAAGTAATTATGCACAATTAAAATCAACACGTAATCCGCATTGTTTAAAAACAATAAATATGTGACTTTTTGAAATTTCTCAGTACTTTTTAGAGAAAATTCTCAAACTGCAACAAAAGCTCAGGACTTTTCAATGAAAATCAGGCCTTTTCTCCGGACTTTTGATGTTTTCATCTGGTAGCCCTACTCGGGCCTACAGATCGTGAGTCTTTGGAACAGCAATGAGCCCTTCTCGTAAATCAGTAACATTGTATTGAGGAGATACTGTCTGCTCTTTATCTGTAGTTTGTTTTTTTACGAATAAAGTCTTTGTTGGTGAAGAAAGTCCATTGGTCGATTTTTATCTTAACGATTTATTATGCAAATTAAGAAATTTAATGACAATATAATATTTTCTGTGAACATCAACTGTTATCAAGGTTACTGGTTTTGTTATTTTTTCTTTAAGTACTTGTGTCTTTTGGGATTATCAAATAGTCACCTATGTTATAATCAATATCATGTTGTTCTTAGTGATGTTGGCTCATAATTGTTAAGTTATTTGTTTGGCATTTTATTAATTAAAGTCGTCGGTTTTTTGCCATCTCCACATTAGGTCGGGGCAACTTGACATATTTGGATTGCGCGTCGTCACTCAGATCTCGGAATATCGTGTAATATCAGCCGATAAAGGAATGCCGCCTCTCGCGGCAAGGCGAACCACTTAGATTTTCCTTAAAATATTTCCATTCGCCTGTTGTGAAAACTTCCCATTCAAAATCCTGCTGATTTTTCAATCGTTCCGTTTCTGTTACGCTAAATGTTTATTTATTATTGTATAACGCGTTAAACGGACAATATTAAAATTTCCCGTATAACGTCTTTATAACCGGCCATTTTCCGTGTCTAAATATAAACAAGTGATGTTGTTTTGTAATATAATTTATTAGCGGTTGCAACAGAACAACGAATCCTCGATCTAAATACAATTGTACCTGTCATCAATTGCGCACTTTAAACGAATTGCGTTTAATGTGCTCAAAACGTCCTCGCACGTGTATAAACTTCTTTTTGTTGACTAGATTATGGGCTTGTTTGATTTTATTGTTCGTTAGAGTTGTTGTATTTGGGCGTTGCTGGTCCAATGTTACCGGTACGAAGACGCTACCGGTCCAGACGCACCTACAGTACCTATTGACAAAGTGTTACAACAGATGCGTCATCGGTAGCCAGCACCGGTTGTGTTTACACGCAACATCGGACCTGCGCATGAGTCATCCCTGTTTACTTGCCTGATGATAGTGGCCAATGATCAAACCAGTATGCGTCTGTCATTCTCTTGACGCGGTCAAGCGGTGCCATTACAAGCTCGCTTACAACCGACTCGCATTGACCTCTCGTTTTACACCGTATTTGTTTCAGCTGTGAATTACCACCTTATGTTTTATTCAGAAACTTTACTCATCAATCAACGGTCGTGATGTGGTGATTGTGAACAGTGTAAAAAACTTTATTGCTAAATTAACTCGTTGCAAATGGAGCGAAACGTTTCCAAGGAATGCTAGCGAGTACATGTCGCAAATCAACATATTCTAGTCAGTGATGTGATTGGAATAATAATATATTCAAAATGATATTACAATTGATAATCGGTGTCGCCACGTGCTTGTACTTAATATGGAAATACCTGCTGTCCAACAAACGGGAGCAACTAACTATAACACAGCAAAGTGAAGCAAAAGATATTAAAACTCAAGCAAAACCTAAAGATCTCATCAATCATGACAATGTTGAAAAGAAAGAATCTTTTATAGATTATTCTCAGAAAGAGGAACACAAAAATACGTCTCAAATCATAGCAGAAGAGCCATCTAAAGATAATAGTATTGAAAAGAAGAAATTGATACCTCCATTTGATGATTCCACTTTCAATTCTGTGAAACACGAGCCACTGATCGTATCGAGCAAGCCAATTCTCCCAGAAATACAATGGGGTCTTCAAGGGGAATTCAAAACAAATGGGGTCAAAGATTTTAGTGCATCAAAAAAGTTAATTGATGATATTTTTACCAGTTACGATAATAAAACACCAAAAGAGCCTCTTGTAGAAAATGAAGGAATAACCTCCGTTTTTTCCAATACTTTTAATGCAGATATTCAAGGTGTACCAAAAATCACACCAATCGAACTTAACGATGTGATAACTCCAAGTCAATTGCTACAAAGGCAAAAAGAGAAAATTATTGAAAAACCAATACCTAAAAGGGAAAGCCCTCCCAAGGAAAGATTAACAGAATTCCTTGAAAAAACTGTTTTGTGCGATGATAAAATTCAATCTATTATTCATAACCTATCATTAGATAAAACTGATGAGCCAAAGGCTGAATTCGATGTGTTAAAAGAATCTTTAATTCATAATAAGGTAAAACCAGTGAAAAGTGAAAAGGCTCTAAGATTTCAGGAGTCTATCGATGAAATAGCTGATAAGTTTAAGCAATTGAGCAAAGATGTTAAGGTAAATGAAGTGAGTCAGGCAGAAACGAAACAAGAAGAAGTGGTTGAAGAAAAACCTTTGTTGAAGCGTCTTCAGAAGCAGCCAGGGTTCCCATCTGGACTCAACTTTGGGTCGGTCATCGGAGAACTGAAGAATAAAACAAAAAATGGGGGACTGAAGCCTGTTTTCAAGAAATTCGACCCGGATTCTGACTACAATGCACAGGCATGTTTTTATTGTTTACTTAACCAGTTTTTAATTTATAATATCTGTATTTTATTATCGAAAGATATTGATTTCTCGTGCTTAAGTAGAATCTGATTAAAACGTCACGATTATAATAATATGCTATTTATTCTATCCATGTTTTACAAATTGTCGTTATTAATGAGTTGTAAGACTTGTTTTATTTGATTTGTTGATTGTGTGATGTTTAACCATTATTTCGACACGGTGTTGGCATTTGCAAAGTTTTATGACTGATTCTAAAGGGGTCGCAAGATATTGCATTATTTTTAATTGGCCGATTACACATCCTAAGTGCAATTGCAACGGCATTGTATTTAGTAAGCGATACTCAATATTACTCAAACCTCTGTAAACCACTCTCACTAATATATCCGATGATTTATGATACAAAAACGATAATTGTATGAATAAGTGTGTCACTAAATTTATAACGGACATTAATGCACTTCGAGAAAGTAATTATCATTAGAAATGATTTTTAAATAAATAAAACCAATTAATATCGCGTTTAACACTTATCAAAACCGATGAGAAAGTAATTAATAAAAAATATTGCGTTCTGAAACGCCGGAGAAAGTATGAATTGACAGTGTTCTCTTGTAAATTAACGAAATTTTTCATGTTACGCATCATAATATTATTATCAACAATTTGTTTTCGTTTCATGTCGCCTTCAGAATAATTAAATTAATTCGCACAGCGTAAGGCCCGGTCTCCACCAAGGCAGAGCGGAGCAGAGAAGTTTTTTGAATAACCAATCATATTCCATTATTTGTACATCTCCACTCCGTTTCGGTGGAAATGGATAGAGCTGAGAAGTATCAGGCGCACTAGTTTTTCTATAAAATTTGACAGCGGCGGCGGCGTGGTGCGGAGACGAGCGCAGCGTTGCGGAGATGTGCGGTGTTTCATAGATAGCAATAGACTAAAAGCTGACAGCTGCGCACAGCTCACACAATTTCTCTCGTCTCCGCAGCGCTCCGCTTTTCTCCGCTCCGCTTTGGTGGAAACCAAGCCTAAATTAAATTCGCACAGCGTAATGACATGACATAACTAATTAAGCTCTCGTTGTAACGCCCCGCGATCGTGAATCAAATCTACGACGTAACAATGGCATGTTACACTACGACGGAAGAGTTGTTATGGCCTATTATAATGTTTCACACTCTTCTCGTGCACGCATAGCATGCGTACTAATTGATCTTGATTATGCAGATAAAATTATTGATGTTTGCTCATTAACAGTAGCTACACGTGTATCAAATGTACATCGAATGTGGATTTTAGATGTGTCTAGAATAATTAAGTAGCCATTTTTGTCCAGAAGAAATGTTCTCACAAGATGTTCTGGGGGGCTATTCCTAACATCAATACTCGTGTATCTATTTGTCTCTGTCGCTCATGCTATCATCTTGGAGTGTGAGAGGGATTGTTTAATTCCGTTGAAACCATGGTAGCAAACAGAACTGAAGGTACGTGACTCTGGATGGTTACAAAATGTAGGATGAGTTTAGGTTTAATTTTAATGAAGTAAAAATGCACTTAACACACAAAGATATTCAATAATAGGTATACCTTAAGCTTACTAAAAAATTATCTTTGTTATAATAATTATACGCTAATAACTTAGATCATAACTTCATAAGTTTTTTTTTGTTACTTCTTAGTAACTCGCACGTAGTCGCTCAGTGCATTGGTATTGTAGGTTACTTACGTCCAATTAATACTGAGCTCGCTATTTAACAATTTTACTTAAGTATTTGCATGTTAAAGTAATGGAACTAATGGAAATTGTCTGTACAAATATTATAATTGAAGTTAGTTGTTGCTTTCTTATGACTAATTCATAAAATATAGGTTATCTCGGTACCTACATAACCGAAGACGCTACATTAATTAAAATAAAAATGTAACATAAAAAGTGGTATTGTCTTTAGAATCAACATGCACTTTATTGAACTTATTTTGATTAGGCTTCAATGAGCCATCCAACTTGTTTTGAGTCAATTTCCTGTCGCATGATAATTTCATTGATAACAATTCAAGTTGTTTCATTCAGTTTTTTCAGTTTAATTAAATTAATACCTAGCATATCGTTATCTTGTGAACAGCATTTTGTAGGTATAACAAGTAGATACTGCAGTAAATATTTACTTCCCGTTGCAATTGCATAATTATGATATTTTAGCGTTAATAAGCCATAAAATTTCATTACTTCAGTGCAAACATTAATATCTATAGTACTTAGCAGTGCTAATTAATATTATGTACAAACTAAAATAAATAAATTCCTTTTCCTGTTATTTAATTGCACATTATCTGGTTGCTGAGTGCATACAAAAGACTTAAAATTAGTACTACTGTTATTATTAATTTAAAGCCGAAAAGATTGCATCTCTTCCCTGTGACTTAACTTGACTTATGGTCCTATGTCCCCTAGATGGGGCAGAGGGCGTCCACAAAAGTCCTCCATCGCGTTCTTGAGCTATGTGTTTGATCTCGCTCCAAGTCTTGCCGTTCTTCTTCGCCTCGTCTGCCACAGTGCGCCGCCAAGTTTGCTTGGGGCGACCACGTTTGCGTTTTCCTTGGGGGTTCCAATCCAGAGCCTGCTTGGGGATGTGATCGGGATCCCTTCGGAGAGTGTGGCCAATCCAGTTCCACTTGCGGCGCTTGATCTGCTGGTCGATCGAATCGATCGATCGAATATTTGTTAACTTAAGACAAGTTATATTAAAAAATATTGTTTTATTGTTACAGGAATCTCTAAACGCTGCTGTGGACGAAAAGAAGAAGGTTCAAATAGAGGACAACGAGTTGGGAGAGAATATCCTAGCTGACAGGCGGAACAAGCTCGAAACAGCGGCCCAGGTAAATAAATAATAAATAAATAAATAATAATAAAAAAAAAACTAAATATATATCACTCAAAGGTGACTGACTGACATAGTGATCTATCAACGCACACCCCAAACCACTGGACGGATCGGGCTGAAATTTGGCATGCAGGTAGATGTTATGACGTAGGCATCCGCTAAGAATGGATTTTACGAAACTCCACCCCTAAGGGGGTAAAACGGGATCCACGCGTACGAAGTCGCGGGCGGCCGCTAGTAATAAATAAATATTTTTAGACAATTTCACACATCGCTATCTAGCCCCAAAGTAAGCAATTAATATGCTTGTGTTATGGGTGCTAGCTTAACGGATAAACTACATATATCCTTTTTAAATACATACACATTCTACATAGTAACACCCAGACCCGTCACAGAAATTAAAATTCATCATTTCAATTTCTGCCCGGCCGGGAATCGAACCCGGGACCTCTCGGCATAGTAGTCCGTTTAGAACCACTACACCAAACGGCCGACAAGACAGACATGATCAGTATAATTTGGTTCCTAGATATTCCTAGATAAATCAACTACTCGGTTTTGGACTCGGTTGAGGAATAATTCTAACTTTGCCAGGACAATGAAGGATCTCTGACTCCACGCTTGTAGAAGTAGGCTGAAAAGTCTTTTCTCTGTCTCTTTCTTATATCCAAACATGCACTGGAAAATATGAGAAAGAACGTGACAATATTTTACCAGCAACGATTGGAACAGTTCTACGAAGGTGGACTTTCGTATCGTTGTCAACTTTCCATTTGCCATCGCGAATCCATTTGCTGACACTTATTATCTGGGTTGGAACTACTTTAGCCAAAGTATTACCTGAACAAATAACACCTGGTGATATTCAATAGTTTATTTCGAAACTCCACGTCATAATATTTTTTATTTATAAATAAATAGGGTAAACCGTATAGCTATTGCCCACTTAAAGATTTCAAACACATTGAGATGAAAAATTAAAGAAAGTATTTTAATTATAGACCATTTATGACTTTTTTCTTATAACTCAATAAACTGTTAAACAGAATATTAACAGTTTTTAGTTAAAACTTACGTAACTTAGAAAATATTGAAATAAATTTAAAATCCTCCAAAAAGTACAGTCATTGCCCATTACTTACACTAATTGCCCACATCAAAGCACAGTAATTGCCCAGTATCTTAAAACAAAATAATCAATTTTAAAATGACAAAATAGGCTTTAAATAAACAAAACAAAACATTAAACTTAAATTCTAGTAGTACAGTCTTCAAAATTTCAAAATAAATTGCGTTTGGCCTTACTAACATAAATATTATCAAATATTTCTTGAGCTGATGTTGATGAGTCAAAATCGGTAGAGNTTTGGACTCGGTTGAGGAATAATTCTGACTTTGCCAGGACAATGAAGGATCAATCACTGACTCCACGCTTGTAGAAGTAGGCTGAAAAGTATTTTCTCTGTCTCTTTCTGATATCCAAACATGCATTGGAAAATATGAGAAAGAACGTGACAATATTCTACCAGCAACGATTGGAACAGTTCTACGAAGGTGGACCTTCGTATCGTTGTTGTCAACTTTTCATCGCGAATCCATTTGCTGACTCATCTCTTTCAAATATCTGGGTTGGAACTACTTTAGCCAAAGAGTTACCTGAACACCTGGTGACATTCAATCGTTTCTGGAGCCGATTCAATAATATCTACAATCCTTATTTCGAAACTCCACATCATAATATTTTTTTATTTCTAAATAAATACAATTAATTTAAAAACAAACGACGATTGGCGGTCCGTTTCTTGTTTTCATATTGTTATTAGGAAACATGTAATTGGCGTTTGTTATTGATTTAGTTGATCAATGTCTTGCTTTTTCACTAATAGCGTTAAATGAAATTAATGACAAAATATAACAACTGATACTTTATTAATATTTGATTGCGACGTGTACTCTGCGCATCAATACAATAGGCAATATTGAAGCAATCGAGTTGTTATTGACTTTGGACAGTTATTGAGGCAGAGACCTTGCAATATTGTTTATTATACTGAGCTTTGGAAGTGTAACAGGTCGTGAAAACTCTGGAATTGCTAAACCAATTCGAAAAGTACCTTATTTTGAGTATCATGAGGAAGAACTAGGTAAATTGATCAACTACTCACTCTTCTTTCGACCAATCGTTCATTCATCTGCCTCTTGATTGAATTCTGCTTGCAAGAAATCTTTCCAACTACTCACAAGTTACAGGACGTGTTAAACAATCGCCCATAACAATAATGGAAAAGTTGCTAGTGTCACAATGTCACTTAAATCATACGCCGACCTCACTGCGGTCAGGCCAACCGAAATAATTGCGTTAATAAGTGTAGCCTTTGCACTTAAGGCTGCGCGGACGCAAAGATCAAGGCTTTCCGTTTTTTCCGCGTTTCCTATATTCTTGGGATATGTGCAGTGGATGTGCGCGTGACCTTTTTTAGTTGAGCTAAACCGCTGATTAAAATCGTTACCCTTCTTTCCATTTCTGGAGTCGGGTTAAAATAAAATAAGATCTTCATCCTTTAAGTATGAAAGAAATGAGATGTTATTTAAATTAATTTTATGACTATAATTTGTATATTTTAAAGACTGTAAACCCTTAAAAAGGAGGCTGACAATAGTGACTGAGTTTCTTGCGCTGCTTCTTCTCAGCACTGGCCCATTTATTGTCCCGAAGCAGTGGTAGGGTTAATATTCGGACGTGTAAAAGTGCTTTTTCAAAGCCTATTTGCAAAAATAAATGAGTTTTTATGAGTTTAATGCAATCGATTGTTAGGGACTTGGGAGTCTGAGTTAACGAAAGTAATAATAAAATAATAAATAATAAAAANGGGTAAACCGTATAGCTATTGCCCACTTAAAGATTTCAAACACATTGAGATGAAAAATTAAAGAAAGTATTTTAATTATCGACCATTTATGACTTTTTTCTTATAACTCAATAAACTGTTAAACAGAATATCAACAGTTTTTAGTTAAAACTTACGTAACTTAGAAAATATTGAAATAAATTTAAAATCCTCCAAAAAGTACAGTTATTGCCCATTACTTACACTAATTGCCCACATCAAAGCACAGTAATTGCCCAGTATCTTAAAACAAAATAATCAATTTTAAAATGACAAAATAGGCTTTAAATTAACAAAACAAAACATTAAACTTAAATTCTAGTACTTCAAAATTTCAAAATAAATTGCGTTTGGCCTTATTAACATATTATCAAATATTTCTTGAGCTGATGTTGATGAGTCAGAATCGGTAGAGACAGAATCATCTACTTCAAAACATAGATGACGCAAAAAATTGAATTTTATATCTAAATTTTATATGTGTTTATTTTTTTATCTTCTTTGATATCAGTTGAAGTGGTTACTCAGAATGTTCAATTAGCTGTTGGTTATTCTTCCCTAAAGTTGTATCTATTTCCTTACAATTAACATTTTCACTAGTAGATTTAACGTAGGATTTTCATTTTTTGTATTTGCGTTTGAATTTTTATCAATTTTTTCAAGCAAAACCATATTTTTCAGCAATTCATGTTGTAGATAAATTGTTGGATACATCTTGTATAGCTTCGATCGCTTTTTGCAAATTTTCTATGCTATATTGTACTTTCGGAGTCTTTGGCATTCTGAAAATGAAACATTAAAAGCCATTTCAATAATTATGCCTGTAAATTGCAAAACAAGTCTAGCAATGAGCAACTTAAACACTGTTACTGCATGGTGGCAACACTCTAATAATAAATGCCCTGGGCAATAACTATACATTAACATATGGCAATAACTGAAATGATGGTGGGCAATAACTAAAAATATACAGATTTACGTGCAGTGATTACCCACCGTTAAAATGACCGTTAGAAATCAAATTTTATCAGTTATTTTCATTGATAATGGAGAAAACACTTATAATTTCATCATGACTATACACCATTAGTTGAATATTAAATAACTTGGAATTTTTTTTTAACCTCTAAGCAAGTAATTCCTTAGTAAAATTGTTAAAGTCTTTACCTGTTTGAGTAACATTTTCACCCGTCTTGACAAAATCCGCCATAACTGTTTTTTTTAGTGTTTCCTATTGTAAATTTTAAATCTACTGTACATTGATCACGGAGCCATCTACTTAGTAAATTAAAATTTAACTAGAGTGATTCAAAGTCAGCACCTGACAATATTATTCTTAAAGCGGGCAATCACTACCAGTGGGCAATCACTCTCTGGTTTACCCTACAATTAATTTAAAAACAAACGACTATTGGCGGTCCGTTTCTTGTTTTCATATTGTTATTAGGAAACATGTAATTGGCGTTTGTTATTTATTTAGTTGATCAATGTCTTACTTGTTCACTAATAGCGTTAAATGAAATTAATGACAAAATATAACAACTGATACTTTATTAATATTTGATTGCGACTTGTACATATTCTGCGCATAAATACAATAGGCAATATTGAAGCAATCGAGTTGTTATTGACATTGGACGGTTATTGAGGCAAAGACCTTGCAATATTGTTTATTATACTGAGCTTTGGAAGTGTAACAGGTCGTGAAAACTCTGGAATTGCTAAACCAATTCAAAAAGTACCTTATTTTTGAGTACCTATCATGAGCAAGAACTAGGTAAATTGATCAACTACTCACTCTTTCTTTCGACCAATCGTTCATTCATCTGCCTCTTGATTGAATTCTGCTTGCAAGAAATCTTTCCAACTACTCATAAGTCAGAGGGCATGTTAAACAATCGCCCATAACAATAATGGAAAAGTTGCTAGTGTCACAATGTCACTTAAATCATACGTCGACCTCACTGCGGTCAAGCCAACCGAAATAATTGCGTTAATAAGTGTAGCCTTTGCACTTAAGGCTGCGCGTACGCAAAGATCAAGGCTTTCCGTTTTTGCCGCGTTTCCTATATGTCTTGGGATATGTGCAGTGGATGTGCGCGTAACCTTTTTTGGTTAAGCTAAACCGTTGATTAAAATCGTAACCCTTACATCCATTTATGGCATCGAGATAAATAAAATAAGTTTACCATCCTTGAAGTTTCAAAGAAATGAGGTACTTACAATTAAATGCAATTAATTGTTAGCGTAAGCTCAAAGACAACTTGGGAGTCTGATGCCCGTTTTCACCATCAATACCTAATTTTTAAGTGACCCCTATGAAAACAAATTGCCTGTTGTGTTTACCATAGGGGTCACTTAAAAATTAGGTATTGATGGTGAAAACGGGCATCAGACTCCCAAGTTGTCTTCGAGCTAACGAAAACAGAATAGCTTTGTAAGAAGAAAAACAAAGAAAAATATTTCATTTGATTCATCAAAATGTAGGTAGGTACAGAATGCTGATCTCTCAGTGTGTCTTGCTCTTACGTAGAATCTAATGTAGAACATACACTGGTAATGTGTTAGATAATATACACCAAAATTAAATGCGAAGCGCGCAGAATCTAAGCCTATAAAATATCCAAATTACTTACTATAAAATAAATTTAACTTGGGAATTTCGACAAAGGACAATGCATGAGTAACAGCTTGATAAGTTATCATTTGACCACAAAACGGGAATTGTTAGCAAGTTCAATTCGCTAACAATAAGTTTGAGTAACCAACTTGGTGTGAACACTTACAAAGGTTACGCGAGTTTATACACCTTGACAGATTACTAAATTGAAATGTTAATATACTTGACAGTTTAATAATAAGTTTTTTTAACAACTACATAATTATTTAGCTCTTTTTAATCGTAGGTCTACACTATATGTATCAATTTGTCAGCTCAAATATGGGTACAATGTGACAAGTTTTTAAAACAATACAATTATGTTCCTTGTCCCGTCATTCGACAATCATCTAGTAGCGTCGTCTCTGTACCATTTCCTTGATTTTCATCGAGAACGATATGAAGCAAGTCTCCCCACTTTTGTTCCAGCTTCAATTGTTTTTCTTCCACAGGGATGGCGCAAACGCGTCCCACAGAGCGATGCGTCCCTGTTCACCGTAGCGGGACGGCTGGAACGGGACAAGGTGGCCACTGCCACGCCGCCGCTGACGCCGCCGCCGGTCGCCACGCCGCCCGCCGCCGTCGCCTCGCCTGGAGTACCAGCCCCGAACACCTTCAGGTATGTTTTAAAATGGAATGGTGTCAGAAAAATGGCTTCTTTTTTCCCAGTAAGAGAGGGTCGTTTTTCTTCCAAGTGATCTGTTAATGAAGATGATGATTTCGGCTTGATATGAAGAATTACACCTTGAATACATCAGGGACAATCTCAATGAAATCTTTCAACATTTATATGGAAAATTTTACGTATTTTCGTTTGAGATCACCGAGAGCTGAAAACATCATCCAACAGTTAGTTTCATAGTGTATTCTCGACTTTCAAGCTTAAAGATGATATATCATCAGTTTTGTATACAAAACCCAACATTTGTTTTAAAATTCCGTAAATCTTGCATACGTCTTTGTATGATATACTGTGAAAATAGTCACCCGATTTCTATCCTGTCTAAGGGATTTAACTAAGGGGATTGATTTATGTCACACCACTACAGAAGTCAGTCACATTATAATGCCAAAATTTAAGAGACATGTTCATCATGCCTATAGCAACACAAAACGTTCGTTCTTTTCAGCCGAAAGACGTCCACTGCTGGACAAAGGCCTTCCCCAAGTTTTTCCACAAAGACCGGTTCTGCGCCGCTCGCATCCAGTGTGTTTTTCCAGTGATGGTATATGGATCTGAGACGCAGTCGCTTACTATGGGCCTCATAAGAAGGCTCAAGGTCAACCAAAGGGCGACGGAGCGTGCTATGCTCGGAGTTTCCCTGCGTGATCCAAACACAAACCGTAAAACTAAAATAATTTCTTTTACAGATCTCGCAAACAACCATCGTCGCCCCCTAACGGCTTCCCCTCCGGCCCGCTTCGGTCAGCATCATGCGCTGTGGTCAGCGCAGCCGTCGAGAAGCCGAAGGAGCCGGCGCGGCCCGACCGCGAGTCGTTCAAGCGCAGCCACTCCGTCAGCGAGAGCATCAGCTCGAGGCTGGAAGAGAGTGAGTCATTGTTTGTTCCTAGATGTTCCTAGTCGATGCTTTGATAGTGACAGCAATGAAAACGCTGAAGAAGGAAAGGAGCCCGCGCAAACTGACCGCGAGTCGTTCAAGCGCAGCCACTCCGTCAGCGAGAGCATCAGCTCGCGGCTGGAAGAGAGTGAGTCACTCCTAATGATTTGCAGCAGTTCTTTGATGAAAGTTATAGCAATCGACAAGCCGAAGGGACCGCTGTGGTCAGCGTTTTGCGTTGTATGTAGTCAGCGCGGCCACCATCGAGAAGCGAGAGCAACAGCTCGAGGCTGGAAGAGAGTGAGTCACTCCATATGATTTGCAGCAGGTTCTTTGGTAGAAGAAATAAGCCGAAGGTCAGCATCATGCGCTGTGGTCAGCGCAGCCGTCGAGAAGCCGAAGGAGCCGGCGCGGCCCGACCGCGAGTCGTTCAAGCGCAGCCACTCCGTCAGCGAGAGCATCAGCTCGCGGCTGGAAGAGAGTGAGTCACTCCTAATGATTTGCAGCAGTACTTTGATGAAAGCGATAAGCTGAAGGAATAGGGACCGCTTCGGTCAGCATCATGCGCTGTGGTCAGCGCGGCCGCCGTTGAGAAGCCGAAGGAGCCGGCGCGGCCCGACCGCGAGTCGTTCAAACGCAGCCACTCCGTCAGCGAGAGCATCAGCTCGAGGTTGGAAGAGAGTGAGTCATTGTTTGTTCCTAGATGTTCTTAGTCGATGCTTTGATAGTGACAGCAATGAAAAAGCTGAAGGAAGAAAGGAGCCCGCGCGAACTGACCGCGAGTCGTTCAAGCGCAGCCACTCCATCAGTGAGAGCATCAGCTCGAGGCTGGAAGAGAGTGAGTCACTCCATATGATTTGCAGCAGGTTCTTTGGTAAAAGTAATAAGCCGAAGGTCAGCAGTAGCTGTGGTCAGCGCAGCCGCCGTCGAGAAGCCGAAGGAACCGGCGCGGCCCGACCGCGAGTCGTTCAAGCGCAGCCACTCCGTCAGCGAGAGCATCAGCTCGAGGCTGGAAGAGAGTGAGTCATTGTTTGTTCCTAGATGTTCCTAGTCGATGCTTTGATAGTGACAGCAATGAAAAAGCTGAAGGAGGAAAGGAGCCCGCGCGAACTGACCGCGAGTCGTTCAAGCGCAGCCACTCCGTCAGCGAGAGCTTCAGCTCGAGGCTGGCAGAGAGTGAGTCACTCCTAATGATTTGCAGCAGTTCTTTGATGAAAGCGATAGCAATGACCAGCCGAAGTGACCGGGACCACTTCGGTCAACGTCGTGGGCTGTGGTCAGCGCAGCCGCCGTCGATTCATTGTTTGTTCCTAGTCGATGCTTTGATAGTGACAGCAATGAAAAAGCTGAAGGAGGAAAGGAGCCCGCGCGAACTGACCGCGAGTCGTTCAAGCGCAGCCACTCCGTCAGCGAAAGCATCAGCTCGAGGCTGGAAGAGAGTGAGTCACTCCTAATGATTTGCAGCAAGTTCTTTGATGAAAGCGATAAGCTGAAGGAACCCGCTTCGGTCAGAGTCGTGCGCTGTGGTCAGCGCAGCCGCCGTCGAGAAGCCGAAGGAGCCGGCGCGACTCGACCGCGAGTAGTTCAAGCGCAGCCACTCCGTCAGCGAGAGCATCAGCTCGAGGCTGGAAGAGAGTGAGTCACTGCAATTGATTTGCAGCAGTTTTTTGATGAAAGCGATAAGCTGAAGGCACCGGAACCGCTTCGGTCAGCGTCGTGCGCTGTGGTCAGCGCAGCCGTCGAGAAGTCGAAGGAGCCGGCGCGGCCCGACCGCGAGTCGTTCAAGCGCAGCCATTCCGTCAGTGAGAGCATCAGCTCGAGGCTGGAAGAGAGTGAGTCACTCCAAATGATTTGCAGCAGTACTTTAATGAAAGCGATAAGCTGAAGGAACAGGGACCGCTTCGGTCAGCATCATGCGCTGTGGTCAGCGCAGCCGCCGTCGAGAAGCCGAAGGAGCCGGCGCGGCCCGACTGCGAGTCGTTCAAGCGCAGCCACTCCGTCAGCGAGAGCATCAGATCGAGGCTGGAAGAGAGTGAGTCACTCCAAATGATTTGCAGCAGATCTTTGATGAAAGCGATAAGCTGAAGGCACCGGGACCGCTGTGGTCAGCGTAGACGCCATCGCACACGTCTGCGCCACACTGCAGTAGGCCCTTTCTTGTGAAGATGGTTTGGTTTATCGTTATAGTGATGGTAAAAAATGATGTCAAACTTGCCAGCTTTCCAAGCTTATTCTTCGCCTGCATTTTCTAGTAATAATTGAGTACTATATCTCACAATTTCAATGCCAGTGAACTTACTGTCCAAAAAGTAATTCTGTGCTTCGGTAGTTCCTACCGGGCAAGAGTATAACTATGACCAAGTTCACACCGTATTCTTATATTTAAGGCGATCTGTCTTTTATTTTTCACAAATTTTTAAATTGATCTCTGTTACAGAAGACGAAGGCTCCCCCGGCGCGGAAAAGACCGGGTGCGCAGTTCGGGTACCGAGGGCTGATGATGAGACCTTCCACGCGTTCTTCGCGCCTCTACAGCAGCAGGAGAGGACCCACGACCTGGGAGGAGACGTGGACCTCGACGCCATTGATAGCGGGTCTAGGCAATTGTGAGTGGATGGAAATAACAAGTTTGACATGCTTTCTGTTACATATAGCTTAGTCATTCTATGCTGTAAGACTTATTTCGTCATGTGGACTCGTATTCCTGAACGAGCTTTATTACTTCATTTCAACTGCTGGACAATGGATTCGCTTAAGGATTTCCACAACGACCAGTCTTGTGGTTCCACAAGTCCTGTTTTGCCACTGGAGTGCTCTTTGGTCCCAACGGTCATCAATGACTATGCTGATACCAGAATCTGGATTTTTGTCGAGTATTTTTTAATTTAAATGTAGGTATATAGTCTGATCGCCGAGCACGTAGAATTCCGTCCAATGACCCCAAACTACCCATCCTTATCGCTCGCGCGTAATTATATTGCTGTCGCGCTCGCACACTCACTGCGAGCGCCCGTCGCACAGTCGCTAAGGATGGGTAGCTTGGGGTCATTGGACAAAATTCTACGTGCTCGGAGACCGGGCTTTAGTCTAATGTGTATTCCTGGATGTAACTTTTTTTTCTCTTTACTGCTACTTGGCGATCTTTTTCGTGAAACATTAATTCAATCACTTCTGCGTTTCCAATCTCACAACGAATGCCCCAAGAACCGTCTTGGAGTATTCGTTATGAGTCGAGTCCAATAAGTCATCTCTAACGACTGTATATTTGTGTTACCACAGACTGGCGAGCGACTGGGCGCGTCGTGCCAAGCGCGAGAGGCGTCACGCTGCCTCGCGGAACCCTCTCAAAGCATTGGCTGCCCGTACTGACCTCCGGGAGGAGTACGTGGCTCCACCTTCCACTATTCGCGAACAACTCTTCAAGGAGAAGGGTAAGTGTTCCTATAAGATGATGCGCTTCTGTTTTCTCGTCTTGGCGAGAGCACTACTGTGTCCCCAGACAATGGTGATCGTGTATAAATGGGACTACTATGTAAGATGTCAGTTTCTATTAGTCCGAGTGATTTCTGTGTATTAATATAATATGTATTGATGAATTACCAAAAAAGTGTGTTCGTATCTGTTGTCACACATAGTAGCTTCACTTAGTTTGAGACTCCGTATAAAAGAGTATAATGCCCGTTTTCACCATCAATCCTTAATTTTTAAGTTACCCCTATGACAACAAAATTCATATTATATCAATGGTTACCATAGGGGTCACTTAAAAATAAGGGATTGATGGTGAAAACAGGCATAAATGATTTATATTCACACGCACACTCACTGTAGGCGCCCGTCGCACAGTCGCGACAGCAATAAATTATATTGCTGTCGCGACTGTGCGACGGGCGCGAGCGATAAGGATGGGTAGCTTGGGGTCATTGGACAAAATTCTACGTGCTCACGGACCAGGCTTTAGTGTCTGCAAGACATACGCAGCCATTGCTGCGTAATGGGTAACCCATTGAGAGCGTCTCCACAAATGATTTTCCAAAGAAAAGCATGGGCACTTTCTGTGTTCCATCTCAAAATTATAAACATCCAGACACTCCCATCACGACTACTTTGATACAAAAACACATAGATGTTCATGATTTAATTTTTTAAACCCCCGAAGTAAACAAGGAGATTTTATCAAAACTTTCATTGAGCTATCAGAGGTGGAAATGTGTAAAGCAATCGTTATCATTTGACAGTTCATAACGTACGATTATTCTGTTAAACGCTTTCGTACTTTATGAACTGTCAAATGATTAAGATTGCTTTACACAATGATGACTAATTATCGTTTTAGCGCTCACCAGTTGGCGCCACTGTAGAGTAAGGTCCTGTCACTTGCTAGTAGCGAAGACAGTGGCGCCGGCTGGTGAGCGCTAAAGTGCTAGGAGGACTATCGCATTTGCACTCATCAAGATGGCGCCACTGTAGAGTAAGGTCCTGTCAATCGCCAGGGGTGCCAACTGTTAAGTATAAAAACGATAGCCCTCATTCCACCGCTGGTGTCATGCTAACTGCTAAACAAATGAACCGATTTTGACCATCCTCTTCTTTCTTCAGTGACGGCGAACTGCGGTCTAGCGGCCGAAGCCCTAGCGGCGCTGGCCACCAAAGAAGACTTCTCGAACGTGGCGCTCCGCTCGGCCTCCGCCGCCTGCGTGCCCGCGCACGGGGCCAAGCCCACGATGCTCCTGCAGGTCAAGGGCAGGAGGCGCGTTCAGGTAACACCACACAATAATATACTACGTACAGAACGTTTTCAGACAGATATTTCGACAACCCAGGACAGACTGTCCTGAGCCCAAATACAGAAAGTTTTCATCGCGAAGGTATTAAAAAAATGACTACTCAATGCCGTCAACAATATGTGTAAAGCCTGGTCCGTGAGCACGTAGAATCCCGTCCAATGACCCCAAGCTACCTATCCTTATCGCTCGCGCGTAATTATATTGCTGTCGCGACTGTGCGACGCGCGCCCGCAGTGAGTGTGCGAGCGCGACAGCAACATAATTACGTGCGAGCGACAAGGATGGGCAGCTTGGGGTCATTGGACGGGATTCTACGTGCTCACGGACCAGGCTTTAGTAAGTCGTGCACTGTTAGGTTTACATACGTCAGTGATCGGCACTATGCCGATGGGATAGGGCTGACTGCTACAAGCTGTGTCGCCATCTAGCGCACCACGCGTGTATTTTTCCTTCTTTCCATAGCGAATACGCGCGCGTACGTCACTCACTACTCGCTCGCGAATCACTTGTGGAGTAAACGGCGGTTAAACCGCGCGTGTTTTGTTTTCGATGTCTACTCGGGGAGATGAACAGGCCTGCTATAGCTTAAAAGTAATTCTGTTTTTCGTCATCTTGATCTCGGTCTCTCATCTCGATGCGGCTTGATAAATGATAAGGTTGTTAAAACCATCGATGGTCGCTCGCCACCAAAGAGGACTTCTCGAACGTGGCGCTCCGCTCGGCCTCCGCCGCCTGCGTGCCCGCGCACGGGGCCAAGCCCACGATGCTCCTGCAGGTCAAGGGCAGGAGGCGCGTTCAGGTAACACCACACAACAATATGTACTATTCCAGTCATTTGGTACAACATAATAGGTTGCCGAACAGATAGAATTTCGTACAATGACCCTTAGCTACCCTATCCCTATCGCTCGGGCGTAATTGTATTGTTGTACTGCTCGCACACTCACTTGCAAAGTTGAAATTCGGGACGAGCACATCAACTTTTTTAAAACTTTCCAGACAAAACTACCAAATTACTGGACTTTACGTACAGAAAGTTTTCTTCGCGAAGGTATTTAAAAGAATGTCCACTCAATGTCGTCAATAATATGGTGTCATTTAGTGTATCTCAGAGTCGAGCACCGTTTCGTTTACATACATCAGTGATCGGCACTGTGCCGATGCGACAGGGCTGACTGCTACGAGAAGCTACTGTGTCGCCATCTAGCGTCACGAACGCGTATTTTTTCTTCTTTCCATAGCGTATACGCGCGCGTACGTCACTCACTACTCGCTCGTGAATCACTTGTGAAGTAAACGGCGGGTACGCCGCGTGTGTTTTGTTTTCGATGCCTACTCGGGGGGATGAACAGGCCTGCTATAGCTTAAAAGTAATTCTGTTTTTCGTCATCTTGATCTCGGTCTCTCGTCTCGATGCGGCTTGATAAAAGATAAGGTTGTTAAAACCATCGATGGTCGCTCGCCACCAAAGAGGACTTCTCGAACGTGGCGCTCCGCTCGGCCTCCGCCGCCTGCGTGCCCGCGCACGGGGCCAAGCCCACGATGCTCCTGCAGGTCAAGGGCAGGAGGCGCGTTCAGGTAACACCACACAACAATATNTTACATACGTCAGTGATCGGCACTGTGCCGATGCGATAGGACTGACAGCTACAAGAAGCTACTGTGTCGTCATCTAGCGCACCACACGCGTATTTTTTCTTCTTTCCATAGCGTATACGCGCGCGTACGTCACTCACTACTCGCTCGTGAATCACTTGTGAAGTAAACGGCGAGTACGCCGCGCGTGTTTTGTTTTCAAGCCTGCTATAACTGTATTGTATTGTGTCTCGATTTGTTGGTACTTGAAGGGTACTTGAAGCGTTTAAACATATAGCTGTGATTGCCAAGTATTGATTTTTGAATTTTAAAAGCTATATGATCTGTTATATTTTAGGCTATCTTTTGAGAGTACATAATCTTCAAATGGTTGAAACGATCTCTCCCCAAGCGTTTTGACTAAAGAACCGATCGTAATCTTTACTTTCCATATTTGGTTATAAAAACATTTTAATCATGATTTCAGCTCAATCATCAATTTGCTTCTGGTAAATTGACGCTGATGATGTTTTTTTTTTAATTTCAGACTAGGCTCGTGGAGCCAGTGCACACGAACGTGAACCGCGGCGATTGCTTCGTGCTCACCACGCCCGACCAGGTGTACCTCTATATTGGACTCTACGCCAACGTCATAGAGAGGTGAGTCCTTTGAACGGTAATATAAATAGGCAATTGGCATTGTAGGGCAGCGGAGATGTTTGTTGATGATTGATTGAAAGGTCGTGTTTCACAAATGTAGTTTATTGCCAGGTCTGCACAGTTTAAGATAATACAGCACAATCACAAGTGTAATGGCCGGAGTACGAAACGCTACTGGGCGCGATGGCGCTCAAATACAAACGTCACAAGACCGAACGAATGAAAGAACAATTCGACGACTGTCATCGAATTGTTACTCACTTCTTCTAAGTACTGACATTGCTAATAGTGCAAACATCAATGGATAGCACAAATATTTTTTTGGTTTAATATTAAACGTGTGCACTAGGCCCTAATGCACACGTTGGATAATATGTGACTCATGCCAGTTTTCACCATCGATTCCTAATTTTTAAGTGACCCCTATGAAAAGAAAATTCCTGATAGGTAAGTGCTAAAATAGGGGTCACTTAAAAATTTGAGATTGACGGTGAAAACGGGCGTCACTTATGTAAGTCTGCACGGGTGTTTCTTATTAAATTTACTCAGTTCTTTTAGTTTGTCTTAGCTAATAAATATTGTATTTTTGAATTTATATTAGTCACTTATTTCCCGGGTTATTGTCAAGAAAGATAATTATGATAATCTTCGATCTTTACCATTTGCTAAATACCAATTATATGTTTTTTCCCCAGGAACCGCAGCACCGACATCGCTCTCCACATCCACAACACCAAAGACCTGGGCTGCAAGTCCACCGGCGTCGTCAAGATCGACGAGCAGACCAAGAACTACTCCAACAAACACTGGAACCAGTTCTGGTCGCTCCTCGGCATCACAGAGGCCGTTGAAGACTACAAACCCGTCGAAACTGGTCACGCCGATGAAGACGAGATATACGAGTCCTGTATCGTCCAAACCAACATGTGCTATGAGGTCATGGATGATGAATTGGTTCCCATAGAGGAATACTGGGGACAGATGCCCAAAATCGCCATGCTCCACCAAACTAAGATCATCGTCTTCGATTTCGGATCAGAAATGTACATCTGGTACGGAAAGAATGTGCCATTGGAAAGCCGAAGACGAGCAGCTCAATTGGCTCAAGAATTATTTGATGAAGGGTACAACTATGAGGAGTGCCACATCAACCCGCTTAACGCAGCCATGTACCAAGGCGCGAGGGATTTGGAAACCAACGGAGTCATCAAAACCTCCAAAAGCCGACCCGAATGGGCCATCCTATCCAAGATCACACAGCACATGGAAACCATTCTGTTCAAAGAGAAATTCCTCGACTGGCCTGATTACTCCCGAGTCATCAAAATCAAAGCGCCCGAGAACAAATCTAGCAGTACTGAAATCACGCCCTGTGACGCCGAAGAAATGTGGTCGAATGAGTACCAGGACCCAGATCTCATTTTAGAAGGGTCTCACATCGGCCGCGGCACCAATTACTACGATAAAGAAAATATGAGGCACTACGACATCAAAACCAAGTCGGTTTGCAAGTGGGTGATTCAGGAGTACGATTTCCAGAAGGTTGAAAACGACGCTGAAATTGGCGAGTTCTTCTCGGGTGATAGTTATATCATCAGATGGGAGTACCAGATCACTGTTACGGGCAGAGAATTGAATGGGAAGCCTTCAAAGCACAACGTCACTGGTCGCGATCGGTGCGCATATTTCTGCTGGCAGGGCAAAGATGCCTCTTCAAACGAAAAAGGCGCTGCGGCCTTGTTGACCGTCGAATTAGACCGAGAAAAAGGTCCTCAAGTGAGAGTAGCGCAAGGCAACGAGCCCCCAGCGTTCCTGAATCTCTTCCAAGGCAATCTGATCATCCACCAAGGGAAAAGGGACACCGATAAGAGCCGGTATCGCTTATTCGTCACTCGCGGCAACTTATCCAACGAAGCGTACCTCCTCCAAGTGCCGTGTTCAGTGAGACAGCTACGGAGTCGCGGATCGCTGTTGTTAGTCGACACCGAGAAAGGTTGCTTATACATCTGGCACGGGGCTCGCAGTTTGAAGCACACCAAAAACATTGCCATAGAGTTAGCGAATAAGTTGATCGCGCGGAAGTCCGGGTACCTCTTCGGTTTGAACGCTTCGGATGTGAAGATAACTGAGGTCAAAGAGGGGGAGGAGCCTAAGGAGGTGTTGGAGGCGTTGGGCGTGGCCAACAAGCAGTACTATAATTCTGTTTTGGGAGGGGGTAGAGACGTGGGGGGTGATACTACGGCGCGGCTGTTCCATTTCACGGACCTGAGCGGGCAGTTCGAAGCGAATGAGATGCTGTCGCCGCTGCGGCACGAGCACCTGGTGACACCCTTCCCTTTTGAACAAAAGGAGTTGTATTCGGCTTCGCAACCAGGTGAGAATATGCATCATACACTTCACGTACAGTTGTTGCAATTCACGAAGGCAAGTGAGCTTTACATGTGTGGTGGCTCGCCACTGTTCGTTTTTCAAATGTTTTGATAGACATTACACTATTGTTATGTGCATGTACACGTACACACACAAGTAAAGTTCATTTGCCTTCGTGAGTTGCAAGAACTATAACCGATTTTAGCCCATGACTTCATTCACTCTGAATTCGATAAAGGTTTCATAAAATCACGTGTTATTGTTATAAAGGTTCACTTAATACGCCTATTAGCTTTTAATTGGAGAAATCACCAACATCCATAAAGCCTCAACCTAGCGTGTATGATATCAGTTTGTATAAATATCAATTAATAGCAACAGTTTGTAAGCCACTCCAGCAACGTAACATTTTAGGGAAATGTCTAAAGAATAATAAGGATCAAATAACATCTTTCATTTGATAATTTTCTCAATTAAAGCCAGATGCTTTCCTAATAAACTCAGATCACGCCCCTCATTTAGCCTAGGCGCTGACCACCGATTTTTTGTCGGCCGATAGTTGGATCGGGCTGTTAATCAGTACGGAGATGTATGAAAGTGCGCTACACCGATTTGGTATCGGCCGATTCTTCATAAAAATCGGGCCCAATCGACCAACTAAAAATCGGTGGTCTGTGCCTAGACTTACCCAATAACCCATAGCAATATGAGCACACTATTAATCGTATGTTATCTTTTGGCAGCCCTGTTCCTGCTGGACGACGGCAGCAACGTGTGGCTGTGGCAGGGCTGGTGGCCGCGCGGCGAGGACGGCGAGCTCGAACCCGCGGAGAGGAATGCCGGTTAGTAATATACGTTTTTCTTCTTACTAGTTTATCCCCTTCTAGCTGCTCCCCTTTCCAACTGCTCCCCCTTGAAGTAATCCATAAGTTAGAATGCAGGTTAGTTATACCTCTTTCCCTGTTGACAATTTCTCCCCTTTATAATATCTTCCCCTTCCAACTACTCCCCCTTGAAGTAATCCATAAGTTATCAGATACTCCCGATCTTTAACATTTCCAGACAAATATTTTTCACCAAAATACTCCTCTTTCAACTACTCTTTTCTTATCTATTTATCGCCTTACTATCTTTACTTTTCTATGTTATTAGAATAGGACCACTTCCACTCTTCACGGATTTGTGACTAAGGCCTAGTTTCTGAATTGATCTTTACGTTGAGCGTGCTCTTTCTAGTCTCAATTCAGAAACCGGAGGTAAAGGACAGATAATGCGGTCTCTCCAAATTGATTGACCAGCGTAATAAGTATAGCCCATGTGCCTCTTGTTCTTGAATTTTTTCATGCTAAATGACCTAATGATAAATAATTAATTAAAATAAAGTGTTATAGGCGTATAAGTAGGTTTAAATGGTTTATTCACTAAAGACAATCTTATAAACGTGACACACAAGTAGATTTTACAAATTACAAAGCAGAAAAGACAAAAGAAAACAGTGAGAAACAAAACGCGCCGGCCCCGCGGCTCGTGACGCGCGCACCGTTTGCCTTTCTGAGACGGACTGGCCGACGAGGGGCGCCGGAGTTTATGAGCGCGGTGTGCGTAGGCGGGGCGAGCGGCGGAGCGGGCTAGTGGCAGTCACGGGAGACACAGCACTCCTGGTTCGCAGTAAAACATCGCGCGCTATATCCTCCCCCTCCAAGCCATCAGAAGACATCGAGGATGGCTTGGCAACCGGTACTTTACGCCGCGGTCTTCCCCTCTTACGGCCGTGCACGATTGCGGTATTCGAATCACCGACATAAGGTGTGAGTAGACTGGCATGATACTTCCCTCGAGGGTTACTATCTCTATCTACAATTTCATAGGTGGTAGGTGAAACTACTTTTGAAATACGATAGGGACCTTCGCGCCTAGGAGCAAATTTACTCGTAAATCCTTTTGCTGCCTGACTAAGGCGATGACTTTCTATAAGAACGAGGTCTCCTTCGTTGTAGATGGGTCCAGTTCGTCGGTTCTTATCCGCAGCATCCTTGCGAAGATCTTGCTGGTGTTCAACTCGCCATTTTACATCTTGTAGGCGACGTACAAAATCTTCTAAGTAGGGTGTAATCTGAGGCACATAATTTTCCTGATTTACGACGGCTCGCAGATCATTATTAATTTCGATTGGAGATCGAAACTCACGTGCAAAAGTTAGATATGCGGCGGTATGACCAGTACCTTGGTTAGGAGCAGTATTTAACGCGAATTGGACTGCTGGCAATGCTTCCGGCCAACGACGATGCTCGGGGTCAATTAAAATTGCCAACATTTGCTTCATCTCGCGGTTCTTCCGTTCAGCGGGATTGGCCTCAGGATGGTACACTGGTATTAAGTTCTGTTGAACTCCCAAGACATGCATGGCTTTCTGCATGACCGCCGATACGAACTGGGTGCCATTGTCAGAGATGATTCTGCGTGCAAATCCATATCTCAAGAAAATTTCTTCTATCAATATTTTGGCACAGTTTTCAGCAGTAGCTTCGGCTAAGGGGAAAAGTTCAATCCATCGACTCGCTGTGTCTTCCACCAAAAATATCCACTTTTCACCCTTGCTGCCTTCAGGCAAAGGACCAAACAAATCCATGGCGAGGACTTCAAAGCGTTGTTGTAGGGCGGGTGTCTGCAGAAGACCAGCAGGTTTAAGATTAGTCGGCTTAAATTTCTGACAAAGGTCACACGATTTGAGGTATTTAAATACGTATTGCCGCATATTGGGAAAATAAAATCTTTCCTTGATTTTCTTCAATGTGCGCTCTAAGCCTAAATGTCCAGCTGTAGGAGCATCGTGCAGTTCCTTCATGATCTCTGCACGCATACATTCTGGTACTACCAATTGTGGTTCCTCAGATTCTCCGTCTGGATCAAAACGAAAAAGAACTCCTTGTGATAGATAATAACCTCGATCCGTCCATTTAGAAGAGTCATCATTATTTTCAAAGTCCAAAAGGATTTTCTGAACTTCCGGATCTTCCAGTTGTAACTTACGCAATTCTTCAGAACTACGGTGAGGTAGATCAATGGACACTGGACAGATATCACAAGTGGTGTTGTCGTCAGTTTCGAGTTCAGAACACACAGGGCGGCTAAGAGTATCTGCTACTACATTCACTTTTCCTGGAGTATATTCAACATCAAGGTTAAAAGCTTGAATCTTCAAAGCCCACCGGGCCAGTCGCCCGCTTGGGGTTTTCAAAGACAGCAGCCACTTTAAAGGTTGGTGGTCTGTCGCAATGCGAACTTGGGCACCTTCGAGGTAACCTCGAAACTTCTCAAGGGCCCATACCACAGCCAATGCTTCCCTTTCAGTGGTCGAGTAATTTCGCTCGGCTGACGATAATAACCTACTGGCATATTCAATAGGCTTCTCAGACATTGGAGTTGGACCCTGCATTAGTACTGCACCCAGTGCATAGGCACTGGCGTCTGTACGCAGAATAAAAGGTTCATCAAAGTCTGGTTGTCGTAAGATTGGACTTGATGAAAGACTCTTCTTAAGAGCTTCATGGGCTGCAGTCTCCCTCTCTTCCCATTTCCATGGTTTATTTTTCTTGGTTAAATCGGACAAAGGTTGTGCGATTTCTGAAAATCTTGGAATAAATTTCCGAAACCACGCACAGGTTTGCAAGAAAGTCCGTAATTCTTTTAAATTCGTAGGAGGCTTCATTTCTTGTATAGCTTGGATTTTCATGGGATCCGGTTCGATACCTTTAGTGGTAATTACATGTCCTAAGTATGTTACCCTTTCTCTGGCAAAAACACACTTTTCTCTGTTGGCTTTCAGATTAAACAGACGAAGACGGTCGAAAACCAGCTGCAGGTCACGCAAATGAGAGTCAAGGTCGTCCGAGATAACTAAAATATCGTCAAGATATGCCACGACTGTCATGCCTTTTGATCCACTATTGCGAATGTCGTTTAAGCCCGAACGGAAACGATCCATTAATCTTTGAAACGTCGACGGTGAGTTTTTCAAGCCAAACGGCATGCGTCGAAACTGAAACGTTCCAAATGGTGAAACAAAAGCAGTTTTGTGTCTGTCTTCAGGAGCTACTTCTACCTGCCAATATCCAGCTTTTAAATCAATGGTGGACATGACGCAATTGCTCTTGGCAGTAGCTAAAATGTCGTCGATTAAGGGAAGCGGATATTTATCAGTACGAGTCACCGCATTTAATTTTCTGTAATCGACGCAAAATCGAGTCTCGCCGTTCTTTTTCGGCACTAGTACCACCGGAGAAGCCCATTCGGACTCTGCTTCCTCTATAATTTCCAGTTCCAGCATTTTGTCAATTTCAGCCCGTATTATCTCCTTCTTAGCAGGTGATACTCTATAAGGCGGGCCTGAAATAGGAAGCGCATTTCCTGTATCTATGCGATGAACAGCTAAACTCGTCGGTCCTCCCCCTGGTTTGAAGATATCTTCATTGACACTAAGGAGTTCAGATAATCTGCTCCGGTCACCCGGACCCAAATTAGTGCCCTCATCCTCGCGAAGACCTAACGACGAGCTGCATACCTGTTGAGATGTTGTATTTTTCTCAAATATCATCGGAAAAATTGTACGTACATTCCGAATAGAATACGTACCCTCATTGAAGTCAAGTATCATGCCAATGTCTTTAATAAAGTTCATACCTAGCAAACTCTCAGTTGCATCAGGCAACATCACAAATTTCACTGGGAGTACTATGTTTAACACTGTAACGTTGACCGTGGCCACATCAACATAATTAGTACAAATACGCCCATCGGCAAATTTTAGTTCAACTAGAATGCTTTCAAAACATTGACCATTATTTGTTAAGTGATTTCTTAGGCTTTTACTACCGATTGAATGTTTAGCACCTGTATCTACAAGTACTTGTCCTATTTCACCGAACACTTTAATGTCAATTACAGGTCGCATGCGTGAATCAAGACCTTTTGTAACATCAATAGATTGAAAAACTGTCTCTGATTTCACTGATTTAGGCACTGAACTTGAGCACTTAGCACACTTTGAACGCACTACACCGGGAGTGCCGCACCCGAAACACGAAATAGGCGGCGACGTCAGCGCTGAGGACGGCCCAGGTTTAGGGCCGGGTCGTTGACTCCTGTCCGAAGTGTCGGTAGAGTGCTGCCGTGTGGCAAGCCGTCGACAATCCTCCTTCAAGTGACCGTATTGCTTGCAATACGCACAGTGTGGACGGCGTTTGCTTTCCGTCAAAGGAGGCAAGTCAGGATGTGTTGCTGATGTGGATGATGATGATGGTCTACTAATTGAGACTGTTGGACGAATCTCATCTACAAGGTCCTCTACTCGGCGGGTTTCGCTTAATAATTCGCCAAATGTGCAAAACATGGTACGAGGAACCTTCTCCCTAATGCGTTGATGCAACAATCCATAGACCATATCAAGTTGTACCTCTTCGCTCAACGAACGTGGCGGCAACTGAGCGAACAGCGCCCGAAGGTTACAAACAAAAACATCCGTCGATTCATTATTGCCTTGTTCTCTGCTAAATATCTGCCTGTATAATTTGTATGGAGGTAAGCGTGGACCAAAAGTTTGCTGAAGCAGCTCTACTGCTTGTGCCCACGAATGTACAGTGGATTTCACACCAAGCCACCATGTCGCAGCTAGGCCGGTTAACAATATAGGCAGGCCTCTGAGAGCTATGCCCTCCTCCATACCTACACACTCTTTGTATGTGGTAATGGCATCAATAAACGTGCGCACGTCGCTTGACTTTTCTCCGTCAAACCGCGCAGTACACTTCGCAAAATTGCCAGAATAAGGTGTTGTACTCACAGGATCACGCGTCAACCTACTGATTAGGAACTCGAACTGCTCGTTGGTTAGGGTCACTGACCCCGCAGCAGCAGCAGGAGGCGCGGCAACAGTAGTGGTTGCCCCATAAGAAGGCTCGTGCATGCCCTCCAACGTCGCGGCAGCAGCGCCTGGCGGACTATAGTCCTGCCGAGGCAGCGGTGGCGAAGCCACATCCGCCGACGTGGCGGTAGTAGAAGCACTTCGATTCATACTGTTTGCACGCGAACGCGTTAGCACCATTACTTTTAAATTGTTTAACTTTATAAGTTTATCCAATCAAATAGTCACTGCGAGTTAACTTGTCCAAAACGCGCTCAAAATCACTCGCGGCGGCCGAAGACGTCGACGGTTAACATGCACAATCACGCCTGTACCGGACGAAGCGCGCCTGAGCGAGCGGGTTGCGCGACGATGACTCGCGTGACGTCACAGTCACGCCTGTACCGGACGAACCTAGCGTCGACCGACGTACGAGGTACTTACGCGCGGAAACTTGCAAGCAAGCATTGTTTGTTTCACAGACTCACAGTTTCACTTAATGTTTATGTTTATGTACAAAAAATAATTCGCCAAATGTGCAAAACATGGTACGAGGAACCTTCTCCCTAATGCGTTGATGCAACAATCCATAGACCATATCAAGTTGTACCTCTTCGCTCAACGAACGTGGCGGCAACTGAGCGAACAGCGCCCGAAGGTTACAAACAAAAACATCCGTCGATTCATTATTGCCTTGTTCTCTGCTAAATATCTGCCTGTATAATTTGTATGGAGGTAAGCGTGGACCAAAAGTTTGCTGAAGCAGCTCTACTGCTTGTGCCCACGAATGTACAGTGGATTTCACACCAAGCCACCATGTCGCAGCTAGGCCGGTTAACAATATAGGCAGGCCTCTGAGAGCTATGCCCTCCTCCATACCTACACACTCTTTGTATGTGGTAATGGCATCAATAAACGTGCGCACGTCGCTTGACTTTTCTCCGTCAAACCGCGCAGTACACTTCGCAAAATTGCCAGAATAAGGTGTTGTACTCACAGGATCACGCGTCAACCTACTGATTAGGAACTCGAACTGCTCGTTGGTTAGGGTCACTGACCCCGCAGCAGCAGCAGGAGGCGCGGCAACAGTAGTGGTTGCCCCATAAGAAGGCTCGTGCATGCCCTCCAACGTCGCGGCAGCAGCGCCTGGCGGACTATAATCCTGCCGAGGCAGCGGTGGCGAAGCCACATCCGCCGACGTGGCGGTAGTAGAAGCACTTCGATTCATACTGTTTGCACGCGAACGCGTTAGCACCATTACTTTAAAATTGTTTATGCGTTTAGAACATCAAATAGTCACTGCGAGCTAACTTGTCCAAAACACGCTCAAAATCACTCGCGGCGGCCGAAGACGTTGACGGTTAACATGCACAATCACGCCTGTACCGGACGAAGCGCGCCTGAGCGAGCGGGTTGCGCGACGACGACTCGCGTGACGTCACAGTCACGCCTGTACCGGACGAACCTAGCGTCGACCGACGTACGAGTACTTACGCGCGGAAACTTGCAAGCAAGCATTGTTTGTTTCACAGACTCACAGTTTCACTTAATGTTTATGTTTATGTTTATGTTTATGTTTATGTACAAAAGATTTACAAAAGTCACTTGGTCTGTAGTCTAACTAACCTACTATATACACACTATAAAACAATAACAGTTAATGTCACAGTCTGTACAAAACTCTTACGTGCACTGGATAATGTAAGTCGAGCCTGATACACGCACACTTNTGACTTCCAGGTAGATACAGGACATTGAAGCGCAGTTAAGCTTATGTCAGCCAACCTCAGCTGTCGAGCAATTCCCTATACCTGCCACTCTAGCGGCACCGCAGCGGCGCCCCTCTACCCAAAAACGTGGACCCGCATCACTTGGAGCGCCGCCACCTCGCGCCGCACGACTTCCAGGTAGAGAGAGTGGCCGTTTGTGGGCACATGATGATACACCATTGGGCTTACGGTAGCCGCTTACAGCCAGCGGCGCCCTGCTGCCGCTAGCGGCGCTGCAGCGGCGCCCGCTGCCCGACCACGTCGACACCATGCACCTGGAGCGACACCTCGCGCCGCACGACTTCCAGGTAGATACAGGACATTGAAGCTTATGGCAGCCGTCAGCATGTGAGCTCATGATGATACAGCATTGGGCTTACGGTAGCCGCTTACAGCCAGCGGCGCCCTGCTGCCGCTAGCGGCGCTGCAGCGGCGCCCGCTGCCCGACCACGTCGACGCCATGCACCTGGAGCGACACCTGGCGCCGCACGACTTCCAGGTAGAGAGAATGGCACAAATGATACTTCATCGGGCTTACGGTAGCCATAGTTATTGAACGCCCGAACACGTGGATTCCATGGCATGCACCTGGAGCGCTACCTCGCGCCGCACTATTGCAGCACGAGTACAAGCCGGCGCGGTGCTGTCCGGCGCCTGCGAGCTGTCGCGGCTCAGTGCCAGCGGCGCCCTGCTGCCGCTAGCGGCGCTGCAGCGGCGCCCGCTGCCCGACCACGTCGACGCCATGCATCTGGAGCGACACCTCGCGCCGCACGACTTCCAGGTAGATACAGGGCGTTGAAGCTTATGGCAGTCAGCCGCAGCTGTTGAACAATTCTAGTATACCCACTCGGTCTGAGGCACTACTAACGGCGCTGCAGCGGCGCCTCTCTACCTAAAAACGTAGATCCGCATCACCTGGAGCGCCACCTGGTGCCGCACGACTTCCATTTAGAAATAATTGTCTCCTGAGGGTACATGATGATACTCAATCGGGCCTACCGTAGCGACAGTTGTCGAGTAATCCCACATAGCCGCCACTAAGTCATACTTACAGCTAGCGGCGCTGCAGCGGCGCCCGCTGCCCGACCACGTCGACGCCATGCACCTGGAGCGACACCTGGCGCCGCACGACTTCCAGGTAGAGGCTGGAGACGTATAATGATACGCAATCGGGCTTGCGGTAGCCCAAGTGGTATAGTGATTCCACATACCCGCCGCTCAGTTGGATGCACAGCTGGCGGCGCTGCAGCGAGTCTTCTGCTTGACCACGTCGACTTCATGGCTTGCACCTGAAGTGCCACCTGGTGCCGCACGACTTCCAGGTAGACAAGCGAGCCATTTGTAGAGACATTTCAGCCACTCAGTTGCAAACACTCTCTTGCGATGAGGAGCAAAGGCCAGTTTCAGGTATCCACAGCACTCTGAGTGCCATGTGGCGTCGCACGACTTCCAGGTAGAGAGAGTGGCCGTTTGTGGGCACATGATGATACAGCATTGGGCTTACGGTAGCCGCTTACAGCCAGCGGCGCCCTGCTGCCGCTAGCGGCGCTGCAGCGGCGCCCGCTGCCCGACCACGTCGACGCCATGCACCTGGAGCGACACCTCGCGCCGCACGACTTCCAGGTAGATATAGGCTTATGGCAGCCAGCCACCGCGTGCACCGTTGTCGAGCAATTCCCTATAACCGCCAATCTAGCGGCACTGCAGCGGCAAACGCACTACTTCCAGGTACAGGCGGTGATACACCATCTGGCTAACGGTAGCCAGTTATCGAGTAATTCCACATAGGCGCCATTAAGTCGAACATAGCGGCGGCGCGCGACTTCCAAGTAGGGAGAATGGCCATCATGGGGACAAGTGACTCTTCCTTGGCGACTTCCAGGTAAGGCTGGAGACGCTCGCACACACGTCTCTGTCTCTAACCAGCTGTCGCAGCGCCCCCTTTTTTGTCGCGGAGGGAAAGCTTTGCGCACCTTCACCACTGCCAGGGTGGTGTGTGGGACTCCCGACGCCCTTGATCCGTCCTGAAAAGAACGGGGTATACCCACTAAAACCTCAGCGGCGCCCGCTGCCCGACCACGTCGACGCCATGCACCTGGAGCGACACCTGGCGTCGCACGACTTCCAGGAAGATATAGGGCCTTGAAGCTTATGGCAGTCGTCAGCATGTGAGCTCATGATGATACACCATTGGGNATTGCTAGTCGACACCGAGAAGGGTTGTCTATACATCTGGCACGGGGCTCGTAGTTTGAAGCACACCAAAAACATTGCCATAGAGTTAGCGAATAAGTTGATCGCGCGGAAGTCTGGGTACCTCTTCGGTTTGAACGCTTCGGATGTGAAGATAACTGAGGTTAAAGAGGGGGAGGAGCCTAAGGAGGTGTTGGAGGCGTTGGGCGTGGCCAACAAGCAGTACTATAATTCTGTTTTGGGAGGGGGTAGAGACGTGGGGGGTGATACTACGGCGCGTCTATTCCATTTCACGGACCTGAGCGGGCAGTTCGAAGCGAACGAGGTGCTGTCGCCGCTGCGGCACGAGCACCTGGTGACACCCTTCCCTTTTGAACAAAAGGAGTTGTATTCGGCTTCGCAACCAGGTGAGAATATACGTCATACACTTCACGTATAAAGTCTGTTCGCCGAGAGTTGATAAAAAAAAAAATCAGAGGTTCTAAACTCATTATAAATTGCGGCCCGCTAATTATTTTTGTCGATATAATGAAAAATTTGGTAGATTATCATTATTATCTCTTTTAAATTTACGGGAATTATTCCGGTTAGGGCATACGTGGGGATACGGATCAAACACGTGGCGTCCATGTGTTGGATAAAAAGTATTTCATTATTATCAAGTGGCTTATAGTGTATCCCAATGTTGGGCAAAGCCCTACCCACTGTCATACCATTCATTTCGGTCTTATGTAAAATAAATTTATTATTTCACACATTGCGGCCCGCCGGCCGGCGCTTGACGACAGCTGCGTGGCTCGTACCATGGTACTCAGTGCGCGTTGTGACAAACGACGCCCGCCATACAGAATGCGATAATTAAGCGACAGTCGCTATTGCAAGACATTTCATAATATTTATCAACTCTCGGCGAACAGACTTTAGTTCTTGCTATTCACGAAGGCGAGTGAGCTTTACATGTGTTCGCTACTGTTCGTTTTTCAAAACGTTTGATAGACATTACACTATCGTTATGTGCATGTACACGTCACACGTAAAGTTCACTCGCCTTCGTGAGTTGCAAGAACTATAACCGATTTTAGCCCATGACTTCATTCACTCTGAATTCGATAAAGGTTTCATAAAATCATGTGTTAGTGTTACAAGGGTTCATCAAATCCGTCTATTAGTTTTTACTTGGAGAAATCACCAACATCCATAAAGCCTCAACCTAGCGTGTATGATATCAGTTTGTATAAATATCAATTAATAGCAACAGTTTGTAAGCCACTCCAGCAACGTAACATTTTAGGGAAATGTATAAAGAATAATAAGGATCAAATAACATCTTTCATTTGATAATTTTCTCAATCAAAGCCAGATGCTTTCCTAATAAACTCAGATCACGCCCCTCATTTAGCCTAGGCGCTGACCACCGATTTTTTGTCGGCCGATAGTTGGATCGGGCTGTTAATCAGTAGAGTAGTGAGATGTATGAACGTGCGCACATTACACCGATTTGGTATCGGCCGATTCTTCATAAAAATCGGGCCCAATCGACCAACTAAATAATCGGTTGTCTGCGCCTAGACAGACTTACCCAATAACCCATATCAATATGAGCACACCATTAACCGATTGAGTCCCAGACGGCATTAATTAATGTCATAACAATTGATTATCTATTGTGTCTAGATTCGCGGAGCTTGAAGGATTAATCATATTTTATCTTTTGGCAGCCCTGTTCCTGCTGGACGACGGCAGCAACGTGTGGCTGTGGCAGGGCTGGTGGCCGCGCGGCGAGGACGGCGAGCTCGAGCCCGCGGAGAGGAATGCTGGTGAGTAATATACTCATTTCTTCTTTCTAGTTCGTCCCCTTCTAGCTGCTCCCCTTTCCAACTGCTCCCGCTTTTTAATTACCCACAATTTATAAAATTGACTCCTTGGTTAGTAATTTACGCTTTTTTTTCTTATTATTTCGTCCCCTTTTAGCATTTCCCCTTTCCACCTACTCCCGCTTTAAATTACCCACAACTTAAAAATGATCTGCCTTTTAACCAATTATTTCCAGCCAAATACTTTCTGAAATACTTCCCCTTTGAACTGCTCCCCTATTTCAACTATCCCTTTCTAAGGGGCGGGTGCTAACTAACACCCCTGTCCCCCTTTCAGTTCATCTACTCCCCCTTTTCATTTATTTTTCCCTTTCGGTCTTTTCCCCCTTCTAACTATTCATTCTCTTTCAAATTCTCAGTTCAAACTTCACAAATCATATTGTTACTTGTCATTAGTAATAAACTAATTAGTTTATTACTAATTTGCTTATCAGAACTAAAATCTGAAATTATTATATGCAATAATTAAAAAACATTCTTGCTCTGAAAGTTAGTTTTCAATTCGCTATAAAATTTCGTGATAGCCACACAAAATCTAAAAGCAAGTGCGTTATTATAAAAGTATGCCAGTTGACTCTCTATAGAACTGTTACATTGGTGCCCCAATTGGCTTATTTTTTTAGAGTAACCGACGTGACGTAACACAAAATATTTTATTCCAGGAGTGGGAGCATTCGCGGGCCGCTGGCAAGGGATGCGTGCCGCCGCGCTCCGAACGTGCGAGGCCTACTGGCGCGTGGGCCGGCCGGACGCGGGCCCGGACGCGCGCCCGGACGTCCGGGTCGTGGCCGCCGGACTCGAGCCGCAGTCCTTCACCAACCTGTTTGATACCTGGCGCGAGCATGATGAAGCTGCGGACGCTAATATTGCGGTGAGTGGTTTACATTTTATTACGGACTGGTGAGGGTATGGGTAATGTGGTGGGGAGATTTGTACATTATGCTGTGATGGGAAAAGGTCGAAAGTTATTCTGAGGTCACAAAGAATATCCATTGAGAACGATATACCTAAACTCCGCGCTCAATGCTTAGGGGATATTGACGATTTGCAATAATGATGAAATGGAAAATCATGTCAAAAGTCCGGTCGCGAATGTGCGAGTGTACAGCAATATAATTACGCGCGAGCGATAAGGATGGGTAGCTTAGGGTCATTGTACGAAATTCTATCTACTGCTCGACCGGACTTTAAATTCGTTAAACTCCTATTTAAAAAATGCTTGGCGCGTGACAATTTTATTGAAGATTATGAGGAATTCTTTTCAATATAAGAAACTTACAAAAGTGTCGTCGACTTTGTGACCAATTGATAATAAATAATAAAAAAAAAGGCAATGGTGAAGGTTTAGTGTAAAAAATATTTTGAACTTTTTTTTCCAAAATATGTACTAGAAAATCCGGAAAGATCTATTTACAGTCATCGAAGTAATAATAGATTAGAAGTGAATGATTACAAGTCTTCCTTTTGTATTCTTGAAAACTCTTTCTTGTCTCTTCTCATGCTATCAAAAATTAATGACCAAAGCTTTTTGTGAAAATTTTGTCGCCGTTGTTTTTAAGAATGAGCATAACTGTAGACTTCAAGAGGTCAAATAAAACTGCCTCCGGTATAGTCGCTTACTAGCGAATGGCGACATCGACTATACACTTTTATTGTAAAAGCCTTGATATGCTTGCATTTTACGAATTTAAAAAAAGTATTATGCAAACAATGCTCGTCCTTAGATTTTTATAAAGTTGTTCATCAACAATATGAGACATGTAGAGGCTCCTTAAAAGCAAATTATTATACGATTTGTACTATTTATTCGTCTATACAAATAAATAAATTTGGTCTTTGACTTTGACATCTATTACTACTTCGATGCCCTCAAACCCTTCTAACCAAAAGCTTTACCACTAACGGATCACTGTAAAAACGCACAACAACTATCGCTTGGCGCACTGTACATTGCAGCACGGGTACAAAGCCGGCGCCGTGCTGTCCGGCGCCTGCGAGCTGTCGCGGCTCAGTGCCAGCGGCGCCCTGCTGCCGCTAGCGGCGCTGCAGCGGCGCCCGCTGCCCGACCACGTCGACGCCATGCACCTGGAGCGACACCTCGCGCCGCACGACTTCCAGGTAGACAAGCGGGCCATTTGTAGAGACATTTCAGCAACTCAGTCGAAAACACTCTCTTGCCATGAGAAGCTAAGGCGAGTTCCAGGTATCCACAGCACCTTGAGTGCCATGTGGCGTCGCACGACTTCCAGGTAGAGAGAGTGGCCGTTTGTGGACACATGATGATACACCATTGGGCTTACGGTAGCCGCTTACAGCCAGCGGCGCCCTGCTGCCGCTAGCGGCGCTGCAGCGGCGCCCGCTGCCCGACCACGTCGACGCCATGCACCTGGAGCGACACCTCGCGCCGCACGACTTCCAGGTAGATACAGGGCGTTGAAGCTTATGGCAGCCAGCCGCAGCTGTCGAGCAATTCCCTATACCCGCCAATCTAGCGGCACTGCAGCGGCGCCACACGACTTCCAGGTACAGGCGGTGATACACCATCTGGCTAACTGTAGCCAGTTATCGAGTAATTCCACATTGGCGCCATTAAGTCGAACATAGAGGCGGCGCGCTGCAGTGGCGCCCTTGCTTGAACACGGGGACCCACAGTGCCACTTGGCGCCGCACGACTTCCAAGTAGTGAGAATGGCCATCATGGGGACAAGTGACTCTTCCTCGGCGACTTCCAGGTAAGGCTGGAGACGCTCGCACACACGTCTCTGTCTCTAAACCAGCTGTCGCAGCGCCCCCTTTTTTGTCGCGGAGGGAAAGCTTTGCTCACCTTCACCACTGCCAGGGTGGTGTGTGGGACTCCCGACGCCCTTGCTCCGTCCTGCAAAGAACGGGGTATACCCACTAAAACCTCAGCGGCGCCCTGCTGCCGCTAGCGGCGCTGCAGTGGCGCCTGCTGCCCGACCACGTCGAAGCCATGCATCTGGAGCGACACCTGGCGTCGCACTACTTCCAGGTAGATATAGGGCCTTGAAGCTTATGGCAGCCGTCAGCATGTGAGCATATGATGATACACCATTGGGCTTACGGTAGCCGCTTACAGCCAGCGGCGCTGCAGCGGCGCCCGCTGCCGCATAATTTCCAGGTAGGAAGGGTGGCCGTCTTTTGCCACAGTTTCGGTATGAGTACAGTTAACGGTGCCCCTGGCTACGTGGAGGCAAATCCTGCCTCGCTTTCGCTCCTGGCTCATGAGTTTATGATAGCCTCGGTCGCAGTATGACGTCATATAATATAATCTATCAGCTAGCGACGCTCCCTCCAGGATCTTCGTGGGTTCCAGGTAGCCTGAATATTTTCGAGGCAAACGGTCGCACTCAGTCAGTGTCGTTTCATCTCATATGGCTTGCAGCAGGATGCAGATAGCCATTGTAACAGTATGCCACATAGTCGTCGTTAGCGATAAGCTCTTCCCTATGGTACATGTAGGTTCCAGGCAGCCATTGACTGAGACCGAGTAACCAGAATTTCCAAATTACTCCACTACCGTTACACAGTCGTACTCGATCGAGTCGTGTCGATATTCCGTAGGAAATTTTAAAATAACTGAAGTAATTTCCGATACTAATTGTGTGCTTTATTTGCAGGAGGCTTTCGGCATGACCAAAGAGGAGTTCTCGGCGCTGCCGGCGTGGAAGCAGACGAGCCTGAAGAAGGACGTGGGCCTGTTCTGACGCCGCGTGGGCCTAGCCTTTTGTACACGACTATTTATACTTTTCTACCCGTANTGACTTCCAGGTAGACAAGCGGGCCATTTATAGACACATTTCTGTCACTCACTCGCAATTACTCACTTGCCAAGCGAGCCAAGGCGAGTTCCAGGTATCCACTGCACTCTTGAGTGTCATTTGGCGCCGCACGACTTCCAGGTAGACAAGCGGGTCATTTGCCGCCATTCAGTCGCTTTCACTCTCTTGCGATGAGGAGCAAAGGCCAGTTTCAGGTATCCACAGCGCTCTCAATTGCCATGGTGACGTCTCACGACTTCCAGGTAGATACAGGGCATTGAAGCGTATTCATGTTTCTGACAGCCAACCTCAGCTGTCGAGTAATTCCATATACCCGCCACTCAGTCGGAGGCACAACTAGCAGCGCTGCAGCGGCGCAACTCTACCCAAAAACCGGAGCCGTATGCATATAATAGCCACACAGGCACCACTCACAGCTGGTGCTGATGTGTGTCGATGTCGACTCTGATGTCGTACTAGTTCCAAATAAACAGGGTGGCCATATATGGTCATAGTTGACATAGTTTTTTTATAACATCATAAATCTTAAGTTTTTTATAACATCATAAATCTTAAGGCGCCTCTTGCCATATTAGAGCAGGGCTAGGTCACTCCCTCATGACTTCAGATGAAAATACGGGTTGTGTGAAGACACAGTTTCTGTTTAATGTTTAAAATGTTCATAGCTAGTATGAAGAACTCCATTTTGTAGGCAATTTTCGTAACTACTTAAAGTGATTTCCGATACTAATTGTGTGCTTTATTTGCAGGAGGCTTTCGGCATGACCAAAGAGGAGTTCTCGGCGCTGCCGGCGTGGAAGCAGACGAGCCTGAAGAAGGACGTGGGCCTGTTCTGACGCCGCGTGGGCCTAGCCGCCTTTTGTACACGACTATTTATACTTTTCTACCCGTATTACCAAGGATTTGATACATAATGATAAAGCACGCTTTAAATTCTATAGTGATTGAAACCTAAAACTGTTTTTTACTAACGGAATGTAACTATGTATTCGTTATCGTGATATTTTCATGTAACCGCCGTAGACTAGCTCGGAATAAGGATTTGTACGCGGAATTGTCTCGTCGCATCCATGCTGGCGCACCGCCGTGTAAATAGTTGTTTTAATCTATTTATTATTTTGTAACGTCGTTCCTGTATTCGTAAAATTTTATTATAACATCTTTTAGTATGAATTTGTGATTAATATAATTTTTAATTTTATAAATGGTCGTTTTATTATCCTCGCGCTTGCCGACATGGATATGACAATATGAAATGTATATCGAGGTGATATTTTTCGATTTTATGACATATTATCAAATGATGGGTTACGCCAAAGACTTTCGGCCCCTGATTACGTTAACGCATCGTTTGACAATATCGGACGTGTAATTTTTGTAGGGCAAATGTATTCGGTCAAAGTGTGGTTAACTGTTTTAAATCGCTAGATATACAACACTTCTACTATATTCGCTTTAGGGTAGGCTTGTGTCTGTGACGGTTGGGATCCTATACAAATAACATGTGATAACTTTATTATAATATTCGCTTAGCTAACGTATGTATCGATGCCTCCAGTGTCGCGTTTTAACATTTAACATATTTGTATAACATTGTAACTGTCACAGAAGTACTATATTAATAACATCACATATCTCTTGTATGCTACTCTTTTATACTGTGCGTTAGGTGGACCATGTTTTGATATTTAATCCTACAGTATCATTTGATTAGCTTCGCCAGTTGGGACGTAGTTTATTGACCACATGATTTGACCTAATGTTATGTTGCTGTGCGTCGTTGACTGATTTTAGTAATGAAAATCTTGCGCAGACGAGCTAAATGTTACCATAAAACCACCTGTTTTGTATCAAAATGTTTTGGAAAAAGTAGCACCAAGTACTTATAACGGAGGTATATTTAGTTTTTGGTGAAGTGGTGCTCAAAAGTTTGTTAGAACGCTCGTCTGTCGAAACGTTTGTAGAATAGTCGGCCAACACATTTTAAATCTAAACTTGAGAACCAGTCAAATCCTAAACATTTGTGTGTTCCAATCGAGCTTGTATTTTAACCCTCATTTTACAGAATTAAAATCTCTTCCATTTTCTTAAACCTTTATACGGCCGACTATGAATAAAAATTGTAACGCTGTTGCTATGTTATTGTATAATTTTAGATGTTTATTTTTTATAACTAGCATTAATTACCCGTGAAGAGCTAAGGTGGGTTGAGTATTGCCAGTATTGGCTGCCTTCGCGTAGGGTACCAGTCATAGTTATTACAGTAACGTTGGAGTAAGATGCATTTACGGCGAAACCCACAGTGCCTGCAGCGTTATGGTAACTCTCAAATTCAATGTATAATGTTTTGCTTCGGTTGTGTTTCATATACCTATGATTATTATTGTATTTGAGATTTATTTTGTATAATAATGTAATAAATCGCTAAATTGGTCAAAATGACTTTGATTTATGCCAAATGCACCAAAATGATAGGATACATAAAACAACACCGTTAGGAAACTGAAAATTAACGTAATAACATTACGTCAATGTAACATAAACTTTGAATTTAAACTTGACCTTCATTGGTTGGGTTTTTTATGGCGGTCAAGCTGTAGATCCTGGCTACACAGGAGTTGCAGCGGTGGGAAGGAGAGGTGGGAATAGTCCCGCAACAATGTAACATCGTAACACGTGATGTTTAACACTACCACAACTTGCCTTATGATGACTATCTGTAATGATGATAATACATAAGTTTATCAAGCCACTTATGTCAGATTTCATCTTATTTCATTTCTAAGGTTGAACTCGGAATAACATGGGAATAATATTGTCATGATTTTTTATTGACAAGCTGCATTTAGGATTTGAACCCAGGACCTGTGACTCAAGAGAATTCAACTGCAGCTGCAGTGTCATTCTTGATATGGAGAATATCACAAGTCAAGTAAATGCGTTTTAATTCCTTATCTGAAATCATGATAAGTTTCGAGAACACCAATAAAACAACAAAATATCATTGGGATTCATCCGTTCATATTTACAAAATTGCACAAAGTGACCCTAATTACACTTAAACTAATATAAATAACTACACTAAGTACTACTCTTACTGCATGTCAATACGCATTCCTAGTGGAATGAATTTGAATGCACCAGTGCCTAAGCAGCTATTCTGAAAAGCCTTTTGAAGAATCTCTTAATCTTCCTCGCTCCGTCTTCGTTTTGCTCGGATTCCTCATTGTCTTGCTCATCCTCAACTTCCTCTTGTTTGGTCTTATACGGCACAGCTTCCTGCTCCTCATTGCTTTCTGATTCCTCTTCAATCTCTTCTTGTTTCTTGGCAGGGACTATGTCTTGGACGTCATCAGCATCATCATCGTCATCAGTGTCCTCCTGTTTGAGCTTTCTCTTAGCGTCGTCATCGTCTTCAGATTCCTCGTCATCACCTTCTGCCTCCTCACTCTCCTCTTGTTTAATTTCGCCAGAGTTTTCGTTGTCTTCTTCTTGAGCCTGATCCTCGTTCTCTTCTTCATTTTCCTCGACTTCTTCTTGCTTGATCTTGTCTTCCACGTCTTCTGTTTCATCGTTTTCCTCTTCGTCGGCAACCTCTTCCTGCTTGACAATGTTCTCTAACTCGTCCTCGCTAACCTCCTGAATTTCTTCCTCTTCTAATTCCTCTTGCCTCAACATTTTCTTTGCTACGATGACTTCTTCGACTTCAACATTCTCCTCCTCCTCGTCGTTTTCTTCTACTTCTTCCTGCTTTACTACTTTTGCCATTCTTGATTTCACGAGCCTTACAATAGCGTCCTGTTCCCATTCAGCCGCGTCGTCTCCTGATCCTTCGGCTTCGTTGCTTTCTTCAGGGGATTCTACAGCCTCTTCGGATTCTCCTTCTGGTTCTGGCTCCTGTTCTGGCTCTGGCTCTTGTTCTGGCTCCTGTTCTGGTTCTGGCTCGGATTCTGGCTCAGGTTCTGGCTCTGGCTCGGGTTCTGGCTCAGGTTCTGGCTCGGGTTCTGGCTCTGGCTCAGGTTCTGGCTCGGGTTCTGGCTCTGGCTCAGGCTCTTCAACGAGGCAGCCTGATGGAGGAGCTGACCAATCGCACACCTGGAAATTTGGGATTTTTCTTTAGTTGTTTTATTGAGATATCAGTAAGTGAATACATATGTTTTAGACGTGGCTAGTAAATATAAGATTTTAAACAGGATTTTTAACAGGTCTCAACGCGGCAACGGGTTTCTCTATTTTAGTGGCTAGTTAAAGTTCTCGCTCGAGAAAAGCAGAATCTATTTCGATTGTACCAACTGAGTTAATGTTCAATGACCGTGAGAGTTGATTAGTAGCTTACGTAATTCCTACCTGCATTGGTTGGGTTTTAGGCGGTTAAGCAGATCCTGGCTACATAGGAGTTAGGTCTTACCTAATCTTGTTCATTGAACCAACCAATTCTCCTGGCCCGCGCATAGCGTCTCCGGGTCCTGTCTCAAGCCGATTGAGAGCCAGCGCGGCCACTCACAATAAAAGCTCGCCACTTAATCATCACTTACCATCAGGTGAGATGCAGGATAAGAGTTTCTCCGTTGAGGGGAACAAAAGAGAGTTGATTAGTAACTTACCTGATCCCCCGAAAAGCATTAGTATGGGGGCATTCTGGCGCTTTTCGATGGATCTACTCTTACTTAGAAGTCTTTTGTTCAATGCTCGTGTGATCGTGATAGAGAATAAGTAGCTTATGCAGCTTTCACCAGGTCTTAACTGGTTGGGCAAACAAAAATATCGGCGGTCAAGCTGCAGATCCTGGCAGAACAGAATTTCGTAGCTCTTACCTGGTCTTCACTGGTGAAGTTCTTATTGGAGGCGAAGCTGTAGATGCTGGCGCCACACTAGTCTTGCAGTGGTGGAAAGGAGAAAGATTTCTTACCTGATCTTGTTCGTTGAACCACGTGTGCGGCGGGCACTCCATGAGGTAGGCGCGTCCGGAGTAGCACTG